TCTGGTAAATGAGGCTAATAAGGAATTTAAGAAAGCTACTCAGATCCTGCTGCTGGAAGATGATGCAATGAAGGAGGAACGCTTCGGAGATCCTCCTATTGATGATGTATTGATACACTGATGTATTGATAAGATATATTGAAAGACTGGTCTTGCAAAGAGAAAATGCCATTGAACTGCCAATTAAGGATTTATTATTATTAAAAATATTGTAGTCCCAAAACCGTTTTTGGCTTTATAGAAAATAATTTTTATAGTAAATTTAGAACTACATATATTCTAAATACGAAAGAGAAGTGTTTTCTTTCAAACTTTTCAGGTCCTTAGAATTCTCTAAACATTTAATAATAAATGTCTAAAACAAAGGCCTTTCGTATGCAAATTTCTATTAAAAAAATCGAATAATAAGAACTGAAATTTGAGTCTCAAAGAGGGGACACGGGGTTCAGGGACCTCCCGAAAACTCCCCAAGCTTTCGGATAAGCTCCTCGGAAACCTATTTTTTACAGCCAGCTGCGCCTTTTTACCTGACTATTCACATCTATTTCCTGGTCTGTCCCTCAATCCTGCTGGCTACCTAGAGACTAGAGACCTAGAGCTGAAATTCGATTCGCCTTCTAACGTTCTATCAAGCCAAATCAAACCCAACCCAAATTAAGAAATGCGCCATTTCGGGCCGGCTCTGTTTGGCGCACCTTTGGATTTCTCTCTAGATTTTCGTGTGTGTGTGTGTTATCATTTCAAAACTTGACCTACATACAAGTTCAAATACCGGTTATCCGCTGCTCCCAGCTTAGAAGTTGCAATAAATTTTGTCCTGAAAAAATTCGCTATTTACGCACGAAGAGTGTTTTTTCAACAAACATAGTCTCATAAATATGTGTATATATCAAAGGGGACTGAAAGGTATTTGGTCCTTTAAACATTTATTTTTTTTTAATTTTGAATGCCAGGCAGCATAAATTGATTTAAGAGCCATAATGGTATAAAATTGTTTGTTTTTTTTTAAAGACTGCATAACTTTGCTTTTTAAAACACTTAAAAAAAGTTTCCAGATTAAAACAAAAGCAAAATAAATAGTTGGAAGAAAAAAGGAACAAAATCGATTGTTTATGTTTCGATTGCCCCTCGCCTCTTTTAATTTCCCACAAAATGAAAAGTTCAATAAACCCTAATCGGGCATTACCCACTTAAAAATGGGGTCCGCATCACTTGGTTGGGATTCTGTTTTGAAGCTTAATGAAACAGAAAATGTTTACAACTCTTGGAATTTTATTTAACGTTTTGTAAACAATGCATAGTTTTTTAGCCAATCCACAGATGGTTCGTCGGAAAGCCGCAAACACTTCTGTTTAGAACCAAAGACATTTGTTTGGAACAAGCTCTTTTTTAGTGGAATTTAAATGGGAAGACGAAAATGGTCGAATAAGCGTGGAAAACAAGCAGTTTTATGAACCATTTGATGTGTTCTTAAGGGGTTATATACAGTTGTGATATATGAAAAAATCGATTTTTTTTTTATTGCATATTCTTTAAGTATATTCTATTGGGAATACTCTCACAAAAATTCATAACGATCGGAGCATTGGAACAGAAGCTGTAGCTATTTATAGCGCACTATCTGCATATAAAACTTGAACAAACTTGAAACTTTAAACGCGATTATCTCAGAATCTTTTTTTTGGGAAATTGCTTTTGCGGTGGACACGATTACTAAAAACTACTAATCCGATCAACACCAAATTTTGACCACTTATTTATTATGATATTAGCTAGTCCGTGAACGAGGGATTTTCAATTTTTTGAAAACTCCTTTTTAAAGCACAAAAAACGAAAATCTTATACGTTGAAAAAGTACATTTTTGTTAAAAACGTCGCCATTTTTTTTTAATCAAAATTTTTAAAAATCCCTCGTTCATGGACTAGACAATACAATATACTAACTAAACTTTTTTGAATTTTGGATTTCGGATGAACCGTTTTCGAGAAATCATGTCCACCGCAAGACACCATCGAAAACAGATGATTCGGGAATTCGGCTATAACATTTTTGTTATGTAATATTTTATTATGAAAAAATTTAATTAAGTACCCAGAAACATGTACTAAACAACGTGGGTAAAACATTTTTCATAAATATTTTCTATGGTGTCAAAAAAAAATCGATAAAAATCCATATTTTTGCGCGGTACAACTGTATATAACCCCTTAAGTGTGCTCTCAAGTTACGTTTAGGTTCTCGGAATACCAGACCATGGAAACCCACAGTCGCCGACAAAAGTATGTTTCCTTTGTTTTCGGTTGGGCGCTGCAATTAACTTTGAATCCGTTGCACAATTGTGAATGTTGCTTGCCCTTTGGAGGGTTCAATTAGAGTTTGGCGATAATGCAAATACGCTGTGAAAAATCAAGAAATAACATAATCATTGCCATTTGTCAGAGCCCTGGGATCTGTTGCAATTCTTGAAGAAAAAATCGAAAAAATCGAAAAATACCATCGAAGCGGGTGGTAGCCTTCCTGGCTCTGACTCAAGTTGGCCAGCGATTTCAATTATTTATTTTAATTCGTTTGTCACTCTGGCTGACAGACCGACTGCTTGGCAGACTTTGGGTTAGTCCCGAGCGGCCGAAGAGTTCGCACAAGCCTCAATTATGTGTTGGCAAATTAAGTAAATTAAATTACAATGAGAACATTGTTGGGTCGGTCGATGGCTGTCGAGTGCAGGCTTCATTATGTACATTTAAGATACATTTTTCAATTATTATGCGATTCAGAGTGCACTCTGAACACTGCCGTCTTGCCTTTTTCCTGGCTCTCACTGGGTGCTGCACTGTGTGGTAGCACTGTGCAAGAATCCAAATCCGAGTTCTGGCTTTATTTTTCCTTTTTTCGCCGCTGCCTTCATTAAGCCGAAGAGCAATTTAAATGCATTTTATTTTCTGCATTTTTATTTCGTTTCTTTTTTTGTGTTTGCCTTTATCTTGGGGCACGTTTTATTTTCGCTGCCGCTCTTGTGATTATTACTGTTTGTTTGCAGTTGCTGTAGCTGTTGCCCCGTTGCCGCTCGTCTGTTGTCGCAATTTTGCCTGAAAATTGGTTCACAGTAGACCCAGTTTTGGTTGCAGCAGCAAAAGTAACAGCAACATCAGCATCGGCATCGGCAACGGTGGAGGTTGGAATTGATGCTCAATTTGGCAGCTGGCAGCCAACGAAAAAAGATCAACAAAAAAGGCAGCAGCCGATACTGCATACTGCATCCAGATTGCATGCAACATGTTGCACGGCCAGAGTTGCTGAAAGGAATATCACTTAGAACAATCTTCCCGGCGAAATTTATTTACCCAAAATGTGAACCGCCAAAGGAGCATAAATACTTTTAATAAATCTTTTCAATAATCAGTAACAACAGCAGAATGAGTTTAATTACCTATTACCATTAATTTAGTTTCAGGTAATATAAACCTAATTGATTTGCTATTCCTGTTATGGAAGAGAAAGTTTCAATGGATAACAATATGTTTTGCAAGAAAATAATTTAGAATACTAATGTCTGTACATCATCTATACATCATTCATATCGCGATACGTAAAATTATCGCATGAAGTTTTTTATCGAAATAGTGATTTTCAATGCAAATGTGTTCTAAAAAAAAATGTTATACCTCAAATAGCTATAGTTTCGCTAAAATTAATGATTCAATTATATTTATGCCATTACATTTGTTCACTACGGTAGGTATGTATGTATATAAATAAAACTACTACCGTGAAGTTACAATATTAAACATACGAACATACATGTCCTTATCGGTACACCCGATATGCAAAATTATCGCATATAGCTTTTTATCGAAATATAAATTTCAATGCCAAATTTTGTAAGCCATGAGTATATCACAATAATACATAATTTTACATTTAAATTTAATGCCTTATTTTTATTTTACCAGCATCTTACCAGCTTGAAATAAAAATACCGCAGTTAATTAATTTGTTCAACAAATGCACTATAGTTTTGCGATATTTAATGTGAAAAAAAGCATAAAAAAAAAGTTTTTATAAAAAAAAGTTGTAAAAGCCCATATACATATGTATGTATGTCCATATATTGTTTCTAAATTAATTTTTATCTTTATTATTAGGCGTATAAAAAAAAAAACAAAAGAATCACAGAAACAAAATCGGGTAAGGACGTTACAAAACCTGCTCTTCGAAAAGTATGTTTTCTTTCTGGGGAGAGAACACTGCTCCACTGCTCATGTTGCAGAATGAAAGTCAGCTTTTGGGGAAACGTTTCAGCTTTGACCCGTTTTTATTCTGATGCAGCCTCCTTCTGGTGCAAGGGATGCTAACTCGAGTATGCGGGATCGAAGGAGCCAGATGTTGGAAATGCATTCCAGGTGATATCCCTTTAAACCCGATTTATAGCCTAGGACAGTTTCAGGGCCAGAATACCTGCCGAACAAGTTTCCATATGGAGGTGCTTTGGTGGAATCTGGACACATCGTCAGGGATATATATTTTTGGTTTAAGTTTTACATTTAATGTTTAAAGGTATTTTATCAGTTTGTAGAGGGGTTTTCCAGTTGATTAAACAAGGCCACCCATCTGAAAACCATCTCTATTAGTGTAGGAGCCATTATTGAGCTCAGCCTGACTTTATTGAGCCTTAACTCACTATCAGTCGAGTGCAACCGGTAACATTAAGACCCCCACGGCAAGAGATAAACTCTACAAAGTTGCAATCTCGTTTGCACAGAGAACCTGGTACTAGCACAGCCCGATCTATCCTTGGACTGCTGCAGCCACTTTCCCCTCCTTTTTTAGCCAAACTCTGTATGCAATCGGCACAACACCAAAAATTACACAAAAAAAGGAAGCAGTTGGGAAAACCACGTTGGATTTATGTTGGATGTACCTACATGCATACATATGTACATATGTGGCCACTCGTGCGAGTAGTCAGAGAAAATTGGGTCACCGCTGATTGAAAACTTACCTTTTGGCATCAACTAAAATGGTTTTGCCCATATTGGCCATCCCATCGGATGACGTTAGATTATCCGTACTTGGTATTGTCGTTTGTGATGTATGCGTAAATTCTGAGGATGTGCAGCTGGAAGTCGACGACGATGACGACGAGGATGAGGATGAGGATGAAGACGGTGGGGCAGAGCAGTCGCTGCCGGCTTCGATTTCTGCGGTAGAGGCTGTTGCAACTCCTGCATCTGTACCGGCCGAAGTGGTTGGCGCTGGTGCTGGTGCAGGTTCTTTTTCGATTTGCAGACGACAATCGGCGGACACTATTTTGGCCAGGTTGCGTCTGCTGGCACTCACCAACGGTACCTGCTCCGTGGATTCCGTGTCGTTCTCATTGTCCGAGGAGGCCATGTCCACCGCCTCAACACTTTCCACTATCATCAAATTCATTGGCATTTTTTCGTAATGAGTAGATGTCGCGGATTCACACTTTGCCTTTTTCTTGGCTTTCAATTCCTCGGGTTCCTTGGGAATTTTTTGAATTTTTGCCAGCTTGCTGGGAAGGGATGAGGCGGAGGTGGAGCTGGTGCTGCTGCTGGTGGGGGAGCTGGAGGAGAGAGGGGCTGCTGCAACTGTTTCCTGTTTGGCTGCCAGTTGTGGTACTACAGTTGCTGTATCTGCTGCTGCTGCTGCTTTTAATGACTCCTCTACAACTTGTTCAGCTGCTCCTGCTGACGAAGCCGTTGACGACGCCGTCGAGTTTATTACCAACGAAGCTGCCGCAGTCGAACCCGATGTTGTTGTTTTATTTATAATTGCCGGCTGTTGTTGCTGCTGCTGCTGTTGTTGTTGTTGTTGTTGTTGTTGTTGTTGCGTTGCTAGCGGTCCGGCTCCACCTTCTGGTATGATTGTTGCAAAAATTTGTTCGCCAAATATGAAAAGATCCTTGGAAATAATCATTATCACCTTTTTGTGAACGTTTTGCTCGTTTCTGGTGTTATTGGTGCCGCCACAGTTTAAATATATGTATGTATGAGAGTGTGTTTACGTATTGGAGTTTTAAATGTAAATCTTTTTTAAATATGGGTATTCGTGTGTAGTGCCTGCACTCGTTTTGAACACGTTTCCTCTGCGCTTACTTTGCTGCATTAAACATATTGTGGGGGCTTTTTTCTGATTTTTTGGGGATTTCTTTAAAGTTTCATAATTCTCTGGCTTTGCTGGGATCCCTTTTATTTTACTTTGCCGGCCTTATAATAGCCTGTAACGTGGACAGAAATGGATATGTAATTAATATGCTTCAGATAACAGATCTCGGATAAAGTTAAATAAGCTACGATCCAGTTTAAATAAACCGGAAATGGAAGTTGCTTAATATTTCGAATAATATTATCCCTTCCATGGCATGACCAAAGATTTTAATTTTTTTTTGAGATTTTTACTTTTATTTTGTAGAAAATATACAATTTTTATTTTTTTTTTTTTGTTATTATTAAATTTTTGAATTTTAAAATTAAATATTGGCAAAAATGTGGTTGACTTTGAGCATTTTAGGGTGAAAAACTCCTTTTATATTATAAAGGGAAGATTTATGAACAGCATTAAAAAAAATGTTGGCAACTTTTGAGATCTATTTAAAAATTAGAAAGTACTGTATCGCGACCATATAAAGGTTTATAGCTTATTTACGCCAAACATAGACTTCATTTGAAAAAGGTTCCAAACTTTTCCAGAAAAATCTTTTTCACTATAAAATCTTAACAAATATAATTTATCGAAAACCTTTCTCAACTTTAGCACAGTAAGTAACTTGCACCTCAAATAACTTAGTTTTTGTAGCCAATAGGCAGTGGCACCAAACTTCAATTTAATATTCCAGAAATTCAGCTTTTAACAACTTCAATTGGGAAATTTCTAGCTTTTAAAAAATATTTGTTTAGTCGTCGCGGCGTCTGCGCACTATGTTTTTGGCTTGTCACTCCTTCGTTGGCGACTTCTTTATTTTAACAGTAACAGTAACAGAAATAAGGGACGCAGAAGCGAAGATGAACAGGTGAAGAGACGCATCTTGTTGCGCCCTCCCTTTGGGGCTAAAATTTGTTGTATTTGCCAATAAGCCCGCGCGAAACAAAGCTCCACAACAAAATGTCAGTTTTTATTCTGTGCATCTCGAGTGTGTGTGAATAAAATATATAAATGTGTACAATGTACTTGCACAATAAAACATAACAAAACAACGCACCCAAAAAACGGCCAGGCAATGACGACGAGAAGACGACTTTGAAAACGTACTAAAATTATTTTTGATATTAAAAATCGTCAGCACATTTTTTCTGTTAACTTTCTTGTTTTTATTCATTGAGCATTTGTAAGTTTTTTGTAAACATTGTTGGAAACACGCGAACTTTTGAAACACACAGGACGAAAGGCGATCGATCGGTCGAAGGAAAACAAGAACCAGCACAAAAACGCGACGAAACAACAACGATTGGGCTGTGAATATACGCATATATATATTCCGCTATTCTTTTCCACGCGACTTCGGCGCGCAAAACACCCAGCGTCGACCGATTTTGAATTCGTTGTGAATTCTTTTTTGTAGTGCCACTGTTGAATGCCCAACAGAGCGATGGCTCTCGCCCCAGCCCGGTTCTCAATTGAGGGAGAGAGAGCGAGCGATCGAAGACCGTTAAGCGCTCCACGATCGCTTCCAGCGCACCATGGGGCCGACAAGATCTATTTTTTTGGACAAAAAACTTATTTTTGTTGTATATATTGTACTTTTCAATAAATCCTGTGATATAGAAACTTTCTTCTCTCATTTTTATTGAATATACTATATTTTATATTTTTGTTAAAGGCCTGTGCTTTTAATTTTGGACGATAAATGGGGTTGTCCGCCCCACAGTGTACCGGCCCCATGACTGACTCTCTAAATTGGCTCTAAATTTCTCTCTTATGCTCTGACGTGCGTGGGGCTCTCTGTCCCCAGCTTCTCTCGAGCGTGTCTCTCTTTTGTCTGTGTAAAGATCACTTGCATTTTATTATTTACAATTGATAAAAGCCTTTGATAAATAAAAAAAAAAATATTCTAACTGAAAGTCGAACTTGTGGAACTAAGTTACTACTTCCAAGGGGGAAAATAATAGTACTTTTAAATAGTAATCTTAGTTTTAAAATTAGTTTTCCAAAATATTAGTATTAATTTTTAAAAAAGTATCAACGTCTTTCCATTACAAGACCTAATCTTACCTTTAAACCTGTTGAGGCCGGGCTTTATAAAAACAATTTTGTTTGATTTTGGCAGAGCAGTCTCGATTTGTGACTTGGCAATAGAAATTTAAGGTCTTGATTGGCAACCAAAGCCGTCACTCAACAAGTTTCGAGACGAAGTCGGTGGTAAACTGCTTTGAAACGAAGTGGTCCGAAACCTTTGCGAATTTCTAATATGTGTCTTCTGTTTTCTATGCAAATTCAATTCTGATTCAAGATGAGTTAAGGTCTTCCGTTAATAAAATTATAAGTCATCCTCCAGAAACATCTCTTAAAACATATAATAATATATAAGTTTATTAAGAAACTTAAATACCTCACTAAATTTTTTACAATATTTGCGAAAAGATCGGCTCTTATATACTCACGTCTTCGCAACTCGATCCCAGTCCTCTAGGCGAATTTGAGCTTTCGAATCTTATCAGTCATTAAACTCACAGTGGGCAACCGCTGCGTATACGCAATTTCACTAACTGTGTGGAATTAGGCACACTGGTGTGGGTGGGCCAGATCAGCAGGAAGAGAAAAACACTTGGAACTATACGATCCGATAGTAAAATGTGTCAGCTGTTGGGTTGACCAAATTATGTGGAAAATAACGCACAGCTGCATATTAGGCCCAAATAATGATGATTTCTCAGTTTTAGGCCGGGCCGTGCCGTTCTCCTTTTGCCCAAGAGCCCAGTGAAATTATTAAGTTTATTATGTTGCCATAAAAAAGTCGCCAGGCGGCCACAGTTCTTTCCCGTTAACTTTGTTGTTGCAGTCTTGGCTCTTTTTTAATTTTCAGTGCGTAGCTCGGCCTCTCCATAAAAAATTATTTTTTTTCTGTTGCTGTCTTGGTGCTTTTGTTGTTTTTATTTATACGCACTATGTGCAAAATGTGCGAGACTCACTCACACATGGGGAAAAAAACCTCACGCACACGCACTTGCTCTTAACCTTGAAAAATAACATAGTGTTGTTTCACGCCAGCTTTCTTTTTGTTTTTGCCTTAACTGAGTTTTAGGTGTTTACTGTACTTTGTTTTTGGTTTTTTTTCTGCTGATAAGATTCTTATTTTCTTTCTTTCTTTCTTTTTGTTGTTCACTCCTCATGTTTTTGGCGGTGCGTGCGCCGAGTGCGTAGTTTTTTTCGGTGTATGCGTGCACAACAAATATTGAGTTTCTAGAAAAATTTTATTAAGCAAATTGCCGAGAATGTGAATAATTTGTTGCGATGCCAATTTTCGTACTTTTTCATTTTTTACGTTTCTGACATTTTATTATATTTAGTTTTATTTTCAAAACGAGCAAGCAGTTTATATATATTTTTAAGCAAATTAAAAGAATTTTATTTCAGAATAGAGGAATAATCTAATTGTGAAATACATACCTTTATCCCAATTTTATTATTTTGACTCCTAAAATCCTCGTTAAAATACGCTTTATATGAGTCCCGTTTCGTTATACTTTTTATCCTCATTCAGGTGACTCTGAATGTAAGTATTCACGAAATTGTTCCTGATTTTTATTAGGTTTAATGAACTTGAACTCTTATCAGGCAGTCAGGTTTGCATTTGTTGATACAGTCCAAGTGGAGGGGACTGTAATGCAACAAAAGAAGCGACACAAAAGTCGGGTCGGGGATCGTAGTCACTTTGACGCGAATTTCTTTTGGGCTTTTGAACTTGGACGAGTTGGGAAATAAAGCAAGGCAATAAGAATTGCTTTTCAGTTTTATTTCGATAAGAATTCAAACAAAAAAAGTAATAATCCAATGTTTATGCCAATAAAATTAAAACCTATTTTTATAAATTTAATATATCTTTTTTATAACTCCAAATAACTATGATAATATTAAAAGTTTTCACTGTAAAATTGATTAGCCGAAAACTTTTTTTGCACCCGCCGGAAAGTATGCCCTACATTTAACGTTATTGGTGTCTCTTTGGTATTTTACATTAAAATTTTATAGAAACACAGTTTAAATTGTGCAAAAGGTACTGTTTTTAGTAATAGGAAATTCAACATAAATCACAATAGAAAAGATTTAAGAAGACTAACTTTAAAGAAGAATAAAGTCAAAGAATAGTAGTCCTGACATAAGAATATTATTGGGAGCCTTAACTTAACAGAGCGAAGGTTCCAGACTTTTTTATATTCGGAATAACTTACAACAAATTCTTCTTGATCGGATTCAAATGCAAATCTTATATTTAGGTTCATATTGCAAAATGTTCTATTATGTGCTTGCTGGTACTAGCTTTTGTCAAAGATATAATTTTTGCCTACCAAATACCATTCTATTCTAGGAGTGGGCAAAGCCGGGGGCCGATATCTTTACTGTGAGAATTCAAAAACAGGCAGAATGATGAAAATATTTTCTTCACAATATGCGAAATTTTTGGCAGATTTTCCAACGCTCAAGGTTTTTGAATAAACAAATACAGTGGGAAGAAAAATGAAGTACCAGTTAAATGCCCTAAAGTTTAGGGCCTAAACCAACAAACGCAAGAGTGAATGGTAACATCCTGATTGTCCAAGATTATGTATTCAATTTGTAACAAAACTGCATAACTGTTTTTAATTCTAAAAGTTGTAACTTATACAATATAATTTGATCACTATCAAAAAACAAAGAGTCAGTTTATAAAATCTTGCAGATCCATCTCAAGAATGTTTAAATAGTGTTATTTACACATTATGTCATTTATATTAATTAATTTTACTACTTTTCACCTGTTACAACACCCCCAAAGCATTCAATATAATTTATTAAGTTTTTACATTTCATTTATAAAGTCTTTCTTCTGGTCTGCGCCATCCCTTACCATTAGTCTTTTCCGTCCGGGTGAATTTGGATTCGAAGAAGCGAATCAAGAGTTTCCGCTCATCTATGCTCGAGTTTTAATTCTCTCGTGCAAACTTGAGTCGAGCCCTAGCATTTTTATTTAAAATGGATCGTTTCTTCTTTATAGAAAAAGAATGGCTTTGTAGCTAATTTTTTAAAGAGCCCTTATAGCTGTTCATCGACTCAAAATTTGTTTCATTTTTTTTTTGTGAAGGGTAGTGTTCAGCAACACACGCGTTGAGAATCCTTGATTAGTCATAGTAACAATTTATCTGCCGATGGTTTTCTTCATTTTCCAGCAAGCCAAAAAGATAATTTTTAATCATGTATGAAAACTTATGAGTCATGACTTATAAAACTTATTATTAAAACAGCGTTTGAGTTTTGAGCATATACATAGAGAGTCATAGTATCGTTGAAAAGTACTGAGGAATATCAGGCAGTTAAAGATTGAAGTAGGCGTGAAAAAAATTCAAAACCGTTGACATTTTATTTTTACTGAGTAGTTTTCATTTTCATTTCGGTAACACAATAGATAGCACATATATTTCAAAAGCTTTGCTAAGTTTCTGATATTTATTCACAAAAAATGGAATCAGTTTTGAAAAATACACCCATATTGTCCATCTACGACATGATGATGGACCGCCAGCGGGCCGCGATCCGAGAGAACCAAAAGAAGGCCATGTACCGCGGAGCTCTTGGGTTGCGTAAGATGATGGAAGAGAAGGCTGCCGTGGCGGAGGCAAAGAAGTTCCCAGGGATGCCGAAAGTGACCAAGGGCAAGTTGGGTCCGATGAAGGTCTCGTCGCCTTACTGTGAAACCCCCAGATCGGGGATCACGCTGCCGCCCAACACGATCACCGCTTCCCATTTGACCAAGAAGCAGCTGTCCGTCAAGGTGCAGCAGCCGGGCAAGAGAGAGGTGATAACCCAACTAGTGGAGCGGATGTCCCAGGGAAGCCCGCAATCTTGTATTTCGCCAAGGATGGTCAAGAAGACCAGTTCCAAGTCGAAGCAGCAGGCCAGCTCCCGGCGCAAGAATAAGAAGAATAAAAGCAATGTCATGCCGGACGGGGCCAAAAGGTTGCCCTTGTCTCCCCGGAAGGCGGAGAGACCTACAAAAGGCACTAGCTCGCCTCGGAAAATTCTAAGGACTCCAAAGTCGTCACCCAAAAACACTCTTAAACAGGTTCTTGAATCCAGTGTCCCAAATGTCCAAGTTTTTTCACCACCCCCCACCGGTCGCTGGAGGATTTAAAAGTCTCAGTTGATTAGGATTGCACGAGAAACCAGTCCAGAATTCAGCAAAAATTAGATTTGATCTAATAAGCTCCTATACCTTCCAGACGGCCAGACTTCATTACGTTTAACATTTCCAACGCTTTCACGTGGCATTGACCCGGGTCCTTTTCAAGTGGGACTAAGCATTCTTAAATTGTACGTTTATTTCAGAACTAGCGTATTTTAAAATCGATTAGTTACAACTGCTTTTGCTTCCAAAATAAATATAAAATACCACCGTTTGTTCCAACTGGGGGAGAAAGATGGCAACTAGAGAGGTCAATTAAACACAGTTTTTCTTTATTCGGTTTTATAATAAATTAGAATTTTCTTTGCTGCGACGTAACATTCGGTTTCTTACAAGTCTAGGTTGTGACACAAATTGCAAGCCCACTCATTGCGGCTCAAATTTGACTGTTTCTGGGTTAGCCAACATGCAGGACCTTAACTACTTGCCTAAATATTCCTTTTAATACGCTTCACATTCGAAACTTGCACGAGTTGCTGCTTTAAATAGCTTTAATTTCGTTTCTTTTATGGGTTTAAAATGCAACTACTACCGACTAACAATACTTGGCTATATATATGGGTATATTGCAACATATATATAGTGTATACAGAGTTTGCAATTATTGGTTTTCATCTGGCCCGGAAGCTTAAATGTTTAAATCGTTTTGTGTCGACTGTATAGGGGCGCCAAGATAGGGTTGGGAGTAGACTTAGAAGGAGGTTCACAAAAGAACAAAAACATTGCTCACAAGTGTTTCGGCTGGTTTACAAAAATATCGTACACAATAAACAGTTTGTATAAACGGCTTTATCAAATTCTCTCTGGCCAAACAGTGGCCACTACAGGTTACATTATAATATTTATTGGGCTTCGGTTGGCCAGCTTTGCGCTCACTCGACTCTCGACGTGTAGATGAATTTTCTAAAACAAAAATTCAGGGCGCTCGCTCCTTGATTCGCTACGATTTTTGGTATGCTGTGAGATATGAAATACTTGAGGAATTCGTAGAAACTTGAGTCTAAATCAAAGTCAAGCAAACGGGTGCTACACGTACATAAATGCCGCGACTAAAAACATACAATTGCTCTAATCTAACTAAAATGCAGCTACCTACGAGCTAAATTACACTTGCTTCTCTTAAACTACAACGTAATCGTAAATGTTTCAAAATGACAGTTGGTTTCTTTCCTTAACTTCTTCTTACACAGTAGGTTGTGACTAAATTTTAGTTGAATTTTAAATTCAATTTCAGATTTTCTTGGTATTTTTGGTGGCTTTGCACGTCGCCAAGGGCTGTGCTCTGCGTATTTCGCGTGCTTGTGTCGAAGACAATTGGATTGGATTAATGCTAGTTGCATAATTTAGAACTCAATTTAATTAGTTGCTTAGCGTACAATCATTTCAGCCAAAGTTCTTTCAGTCTGAAAAAACAAAAGGTGTTTGGGTGAGTCTATGCAACACAGAATCAATTCATAAAACATAGAGTTTAACAGGCAAATCCAATACCTCTTGGTTAGATCGGAAATAAGAGGGGTTAGTCACGTCAAGTGCGATTGGGAAGATATACAGAGTATCTTAGAATATAAAAGTTTACTTACAAAAATTAGGGATTGTGACTGTGAGTTTGTGTGGGGCCTCAAAGTTTTGTTTCTCTTTCCACTATCTGAACTTTTGAATTTAGCTTGAACATCAATACAGTTCTTGTTTTAATTTTTAGTATACATCGAAATGAGTTTTTGCATTGAACTTATGGCTAAAGAAATGATTTCTCCGGTTGGGATAGGTCCTTCTTGGTTTCAAACACGATTCAATTCTGATCAGCGGAGAAATCATTTCTTGAACAGAGGAAGAAGAACATGCAACAGTTTCGGGCTTGTGTATTGCTAACTAAGAGATCAGTAACAAATGTCCGCTAGAACACTGCATTTCCTGGCTTTAGGGCATTTTGAAGTACAGACATTCCTGAAAAGCTTTCCTTTTTAATAAACAAACTATTGTGTCGATTAGCTGCCGCAGAAAACTGCAAGTGTACTTCAAAATGCCTTACATTTTTGAAACGCACTGCAAGTATACATGAGTGTATGGTTATGAGTGTAAAGTTGCAATTAGCTGTCGCTGGCTGATTTCTGTTGCTAGTGTGTGTGTTGCACTGGTGTTATTCACGGCCTAATGAGACGCTTAGAATTCACTGTGCGCCGGCATAGACATCGACTCGATCCGCTGACGCAGCTTGCCGTCGTTGTAGATCTTTTCGCACACATTGCTCACCTTTTTCAGCAACTCAATGGCAGTCTGGAGCACCTGCTGCCACTTATCTAGCTCGGCTTCGTGTGCGATTTCCTGATCGCGCAGCAGCTCCAGCCATTCCTGGTTTGTGTTAGGTAGGTCCCTAAAAAATAATGATCATTAATGAACCAAATTCGATATAAAGCGAAATAAATGAGGAGCACTATCGTCTGCTCTAATCAATCAACTATTGGTTGCGTAGTCAGCCCATATCTACACGACCATGTGGTGCGCCCTAGAACAAAGCACCAATCCTTTATTTGAGGAATAGCGTTTAGGTCTCACCACTCCCAGGGCTCTAAGCAGAGACCTTATTGTTAAGACTAGGGCTAGGAAAACGTTTTTCAACTCACTTTAAGGCCGCCAAGTTGGGCAGTCGCGCCCGCCGACTGAGATCCACGTCAATCCGTTCCTCCAGCTTCCAGAGCTTAAGTAATAATATCACATTTAATGCCAGCATCAAGCACAGCAACAGAATAACCAACAACGACAAGCCCCTGTGTCTGAAACCGAGTCTGTGACCCTGCCCGTGACCCATCGCCAGCGGCTGGCCGTCGTCGCCGCCCGGGTGCAACTGCTGCTGCTGCTTGTGGTGCTGCTGTAGGTGGAGGTGTTGGTGCGACTGCTGCTGGTGGAGATGGGGCTGCTTGCCGCCCTCGAGCAGCAGCGGGTGACCGGGAGCGGCGCCGACTGCAGCCCCGGCGACAAGCGGCTGGGTGTCTAGGGTGTCGCCGGGCAAGCCGGCGATGCCCGGCTGTGCCGTGCCGCCTGCTTCCTCCAGGGGGCGTATTTGTGTGGCGGTTCCTGCGAAAATACGGGGACGAGCGTCGAGGAGGAGAGAGTGGCAATGGCACGGTTAGAAATCAAATTACTCGAACGGAAAAATCAAATCAAACATAAGCGAGAGTCGGAGGTGCTGGCAACATAATCACAACATTAAGAGTACAACAAAAAATCGATAGCTACGAAATAACTTAAACTGCAATAACAAAGCAAACTGTTCATGTTTTATGAGGGTAAGAATTGCCACAAGGGGTCGAACTTGGAAGGAAAATAAACGGAATCTTATCGAAGCTTGATTAGGCGGAAAAAGTAAGCATTACAAGTTGGAAAAGTTCGTAGAATAAAAAAAGAAGTGGGACATATCAAAAATATATGAGTTCGGGAGGAAGAGCTAGTTAATTGTGACTTATGCCAAAGTTGTCAGTCTTTAATGAGGTTTAGAAAATGAATCTCTTTTAAATATTAAATACTTTGTCTATAAGCTCTTCTCTCTAATTCACTATAAAAGAATTAGCTTATTTGTGCCTCAAATGAACTACTTATTCCTTGACCCAAAATCGGATTGGGTCTTGGTTTCATAAACCATTTAAACAAAGGCTGAACCGACTATGTAGTATATTTTGTTAAACAATATCCCTCAAAATAAAATAAATATGTGGAACCCAGCGCGTGCTTGATAAGAAGCCAACTAACCTACCACCTCAATCCATTAACTGATAAGTTGGCACCGCTTACAAAGTCTCTCTGCCAAATTTTAACAAAGTTTTCTCAATTTAAATATTTTACAAAAACTGAAAACACTTTTCTGATTGAATTTGTATGAAAACTACAACAAACCCCATAGGTCTATCTCTAATACATAAGGCTAAGTCTATAGGGTTAATACAAAGCTGATTCTACCCCATCTACTGTGGCAATTTCTGGGTTACACAATCTGTTCAAAGCTGTACCTCGGCTCGAATGAGTTATTGTCTTACGATGATGCCAATGGGGATGCTGATGATGAGGGTAATGGTGATTGGAAAGCGGTTGATGATGATGGGAGGGCCTGGCATCGAAGTGGCCGTGCTGTTGATGATGATGGTGATGATGCTGCTGGCCACCGTGGTGATGGTGGTGGTGGTGATGCATGTGCAGGTGCTGGTGCTGGTGCTGCTGGTGGGGCTGGGTGAACAGCAGACTGGGTGACAGATGATGTGGCGCCTCGTGAATGCTGTCATTGTCCGTACTCGTCGTGGTGGCCACAGCTGCAGTGGTGGTGGTCGTGGCAGTGGCTGTTTTCGCCGATGAGGATGTTGATGTCGCAGAAGGGGGATTCATGCCTGTGATGTATGTTGGTTGTAGCAGGTTGTGGCTTGGTTGTTAGCATATTCAATGGTATCGACTGATGTTGTTGATGTTGATGTTGATGTGGTCATGCGTGCGTTTGTGTGGTTAGAAGAAGCAATGGCAATTGGCATTGGCAGTGTTGAATCGAATTCGCATTCAGATCAAATTTAGTATCGAATATGGAAATTTCATTACAAAATTACGGAAGAATTGCTTTGCATTGTTGCTGTAGTATTGGTTGTGATTGTTGTTCTTGTTGTTGTGGTTGTTGCACTGTTGTCAGTTGGTTGTTGTGGCCTAAAACTAAATGCTTACCCCTCCGCGGACGCCGTCCCTTGCCCTTGGCGGGCGGAATGCACGTTTCGCTCTGGAGCGCGTGCAGCTGGGAGCCGAAGAAGTCCTCCAGACCCGCCCAAGTGTTCTTCTCGATGAATCCCTTGACAACGCCCCAAATCGACTTCTTGTACTTGATCTGGGTGTGTACCGACAGCATCGTGTGATCATCGACCGTCCTACCACGAAAACGACAATGTAATGATTAGATTTTAGAGTCATTCAACTATTGCATCACCGCCGATAAGTGGGTATAGTTTCCGCATGGACTCGTCCATGGTTTCCCCCCAATACGAGCTGAATGACTCACCTGGCGAGGCAGAAGTGGATGAGTACGCTGAAACTGTCCGCATATGGAATGCCTGCGTTTACACTATTTACGTCTATGGAATACAGTTCCCCGGGCTTGCTGCACTCCCGCATGGTCTGGTACTCAGTCACCTATGGAGGGAATCAATGAGCAACTCGCACATGACACATTATTGGGTGTCGCTATTACCTTTGAGGACTTGGGACCCACGGAGGCGGCCAACTGCACGGTGACGTTTACGGTTCGTACGTTCAGGCCTTCCTCATTCCTGGACCACTCGCCCATTATAAGGTCTGTGGACTTGCGCGAGGCGTGGAAGTCCGTCAGGAATTTGGATTTACTGAAGAGCATGTTAAACAGAGTGTCCACGTTGATGGGCAGGATGGTGTGCACAATCTGGCGACCCTCGTGCGTGGAAGTGCATTCTGTGGTGGGCACAAATCTAGGTGGGGATACGGCAACTCATTAGGAGGTGAACCTTTCAAGTATTAAGTTGGGAAGACTTACGGCACATTGTTCGCTTCGGAGTCGGACGAGTCGGACACATCTGTGGGCACGGCCTCGTCGGCGGTCTTGTGATTCTTGCTCAGCTTGCGTTTGGTCTCCAGCTTAGACTCCGTCGCAGGACAACCTGAGGTGCCATCCGAAGCCGCCACGGCCGCTGCTGCAGCTGCTGCGCCTGAACTAGAAGCCGTGCTGATTTTCTTCTCAGCGCTCTTCTTATCGGTGCCGCTTGGAGCTACTGGGCCAGAACCTGATCCTGAACCAGTCAAGGTCCCGGAACCGGAATGGTTGGCGACTGTGGAGGAGGTGGATGTGTTCGTAGTGGAGCCGGCAGTGCTGCTGCTGCTGGCTACGGGCACCTGGGTCATGGTAACACTGACCGATTGCTCCGCCGGCTTCACGGAGCTGAGCGTCAACTCTTTGGCGTTCTGCTTCATCTTCTTGTTGAGTTTGCGCGAACTCTCCCTGGTCTTGTTGTTGTCCGAACCGCTGGCCGAGGCGTTGGCCGAGGACTTGGACGAGTTGAAGAAGTATTTCGTCTTTGACTTGCGGGGGGCTGAGGCCCGGCTGGCACCGCCGCCGCTGCTGGCGCTGCTGTTGCCGCTCTGGGGCAGCTGGGGATTGGACTGGTTGGACTGGTTCGACTGTTGCGACTGGCGCTGCGACTGACTGTCGTCGTCGATGGCCGTCTGGAAGTCAAAGTCCGTCTCGTTGCCGTTGTCCAGCGTGGGATCGATGTAGTCCTCGTCGTCGGTGGTTAGGCCCAGCTCCTCGCCGTAGGAGCTATGCACGTACTTCCAAATCTCCTGTGGCGAGAACTGCTTGTTCATCAGCGTGTTCTGCCAGACACGGAAGAGCATCAAGAAGCTCTTGTCGCGCGACGTGAACGTGGCAAAGAAGTACTTGTCCTTGCCGCTGGCTATCGAAATGGCATTGGGTATCACCAAGGCCGTCTTCTCCTTGGTAATGGCCGTTACATCCTTCCACTTGATGCTCAGGAAGGTCTCCCAGGAGAAGATGTTGGCGTGGAAGCAGACGTAGTTCTGTGATACGTACAATCGTCCCTGAACTAGAATATCACGCTGCAGGGCACACGAATAATCTAAAAAGAAATGTTTTAATTAATAATATTGTATAATTATTTAATGTGAATTCTTTTAGGAATAGAATACGTGATCCATAAAAGTGAACACTTTAATGAGCCCACACTTCTTAAAAGACTCGGTATTTTTTTATAAAACCATTCATAGCTATACTCGCTTTAATGTGTTGCTCATTAATGCTCGGGTCTTGACTGAATTCTTAAATGGCATTCCCATTTATCATAACTCGGGATATGAATAAACGTTTCCTATCAAATGTTGCATAACAAGGCATTAGGGTCTTGAATTAATGAAGTCTAGATATTGAAACCAAATCATTTTTTTTTTTAAATAAGACTTATCTAATGGGAAGCTTATGAAAGAGCTACTAAACCAAAACAATCACTCGAATTAGTCAGTACCAAGCCAAGTCCGTTCTTCTAATCATGGTTGATGCCCGCAGACTCACCCACAATCAGACGCTCATCGTTGGGCACGTCCTTGAAGAGCTTCTTAAAGTCCTCGGCACGCGACTTGTAGTTGGGGTAGATGACGTTGTACCAGGACTTCTTCTTGGCCCGCTCCGAGAGCCGGGAGGGCTTGGCCGGCTTCTCGTTGGAGGTGGAGCTGCTGCTGGTCACCTGCTGCTCCCTGTCCACGCGGAGAAGGCTCAGCTCGTGCGGGGTGAGGTCGCTCAGCCGGTGCTGGGAGATGTCCTGCTGGGAGACAAGCGAGAGGGAGAGCTGATCAAACACCATGAGGATATCCATCGATAGCAGACTGTGGTGGCGTGAACAAACATTTTAGCAACTAACGTTGATATCTTCTGCTTTTTGGCCACCTGCTCGCAACAGCGCCCAGCAATTTGTTAACTCTTCTGATCAGGGTGATTCACGGAGCTTCGTAGGAAACTACTCTTCGGCCAGGTGTTTGGCCTTAACTTCTTATCACACCACTCGCCTGCCGCTGTTTACGACCCCCAATTATTTACACACAATTCGCTGCAACGCTCGGAATTAATATTTTTCTGTTTCTTTTTTTTGCTGCTTGCTCTTTGAGACGCTCCGTCGCTTATTGAATTCTAATTCTCTATTGCCAGCACTACCAACGTCAACGGAGCGTTATCAATGAGCGGGAAAAGCTCAGGTCCCCGAAAAAAAACAATCGTGTCGATTCAGGGCGAGCTTTGCAAGTTTGTTGCGGCCACTGATAAGGGCACCACCGCCGGAGGGTACTCCTAATCAGCTGGCCCAAGGGGCACTCTCAGCATATGCTCCTTATCGCCCCGCGCAGCGATTAGATTTGGCAAATGGTCAATGGGTGGTTATTAATCTCCATACCGCACGTCTGTCTGCCAAACTGAGTATCTATCTGTCTATATATCTATCTATCCATAAATCTCTCTATCCGTTGCGGTCTGCCCCATCGTCTGATCGACCGATCGCCCGCCCGTCCGGGTTTATTTATTTTCTTTCGAAGACTGCCTCGGCTGCTTCACACCTTTTTTGGGCGTGTGTTTGTGTTAATGGTTACCTCCATCAAAATCATGGAAGCTTTCAAGCTTTGGATACATTTTTAAAATAATAAACACGAATAGTCTATGGACTAGCCCTGTTTCTGGGAATATCAACATTATGCGATATGCTGGGTTTCATGTTTCATATACATATGTACATACTATATACATATTTACTTTTCTACATACGCCCTAAAAAATGAATTCTTCCATAATTAAACCGTTGAATATTGAGACTGTAATGTAAGCATATGTTTCTATATTTAAAAACAACTTGGGTTTGGCATTTTGATAACAAAAATGGCCCAATTGTAGGCAAGAGTATATACTACATACATACATAGGTACATATATATTCTTCTATATACCTATTAACACTACAAGTATAAAGTCATTCTTATTAGCAGAATTCGTCTCTAATTTCTTTAACCCATTACAGGCCGCTTTACTTAACAGGGAAAATTGATGTAATATTTGGAAAATTAAAAAAAAGAATTATGATATTCGAAAAAGGGTATTAAAAATTATACACCAAAAGATAGAATCCGGCAGTGTATATCCTGCTGTACATAAAGCTTTAAACGCGTTTTTCTCGAAACCCCATTTTTTGGGAAATTGTGTTTCTATAAATCGAGCAAATTTTAAGGGGGGACATCTGAGTACCATATAAAAAAAATTGAAAAATCCCTTTTCTCTTAAAAATTGCTTTAAGGTCTTAAAAATAACATACCATAAGATACGGTCCGGCAAAATTTGTAGAAGGATTTATAAAGATAAAAAAAGTACACTTTTTAAAAAAGCTACTGCACGAAATTTAAAAAATAAAAAAAGTAAAGAGATTTACGACAGACTTCCGAACTTTATTGGAAAGAAAATGATTTCTTTTTAGCGCTTATTGAATTGGACCTTAAATATAAAAGAAATCATTTTCTTTCAATCTTCCATATTCTTGACATTGTCTGATCCCCATTTTTAGGATTGCTTGTTTGGTACTTTAAGTTTAAAGTCTAATATTAATGGGTGGTTAATGTTGGTGATGTAGTCATATTTCTTCCTATAATATAATTTTTTCTATGATTTTTTGCATATTATTTCTTCACATATTTAGCTACTTTTTGATGTTTAAATTTGAAATATTTGAATAATACTTTGGATAAATTAAAAACAAGGCTTCAAACAGATAAAAATATAAAATGTAAGCTCCGATGTCCGATCCCAGATATCTGTTATTGTAAATACATTGGTTAGATTAGAAATCCATTTGAAGTTTAAAGAATATCAATTGTATCTGAAGCTCAGTGATGTTGTCTAAGCAAGTTGTAGATAAACTCCTAATAGGTTGAAGTAAAGATACAAATTTGTGTTTAAAGTGTATAAAGTAATAGTACCCAGTGGCAACGAAATTCGATCAGAGTTTGTCATTTCTAAACCTAGAAGCCTAGAAGATAAAACCCAGAAGCCTCCAGTCATTCCCGTTTGCAAATTCTTTCTGTTTACCTTTTTATTTCACAACTGCCACTAAAATTATGTTGGATGAGCAAATTCCAATTCGATTTTTATTTATAAGTTGGCTTCCTTCAATTCTGTTTATTCACGGATACTAGTGATTTTTGCTAAATGCGTAACAGAGACCTCCACTTTGTCTGATAACTCGACATCATAAACAGCTTGGCCGGGCAATAAACCAGCAACCCCACTCACCTCATCACGTCCGCTGCTGGAGGTGGACAACTTGGGCTGGCTCGCCTTCCCCTTGGAGCTGGTGGAGCTCTTGCGGCTGCAGGGGCTGTCCGTGAGGCTTCCGACCGGGGCGGTGAACCCGTTCGAGTCTACGCTCTGCGATTGGAGGGGCTGATCCCGGCTCGAGTCGCTGGACACGATATTTATGCTGGGCGTGGCGCCCTGGGAGGAGCCGTTCAGGGGACTGGAAGTGGCGCAGGGACTCGTGGAGGTGGCAGCCTGCCCTAGGCCAGGACTGCTTCCGCAGGAGTCATGCCGCGGCTTTGGCGAGAGACGAGCACTGCTGGGCGGCGATCCACCTGTTGGGGCTGTCGTGGAAGCGATCTGTTTGGAGGACGACGATTTGGAGAGGCTGCTCTGCTCGAGGCTGCCGGCGGCCTCCTGGATGGTCAGTAGCTTGGTGCTCAGAGTACTGGTGGTGGTGGTGGTCGTAATCGTGATCTCCTCAGTGATGGAGTCGCGCCTGCAAAGACACACGGGCATTAGCAATTAGTGGACGACCTGGGGTGCTCTGGGCTACGACTACGTGGGTTATATTGGAAGAACTCTTGAACTAGGCATGCAAATTTGGAAACTGTAATGGATTCTCTTACGGAATTCCGCCAAGGCCTGGCTTGAGAGTTTCCGGAGCAGTGTTCACCTTCTTCCACCTACCTGTCGCCAGCACTGCTCTCATCGGACTTGGCGTCCGCCTGCTGCTCCTTCTCCTCCGGCTGCGATTGCTGCTGGGGATTCGGCGCAGTTTCCAGCGGGTTGTCCTGGAGCTGTGACTGTGTCTGGGATTGCGGCTGTGGCTGCGACTGTGACTGTGACTGGGTCTGTGACTGGAGCTGATCGGGCTGGGTGGTCTCGGGTATCATGTTGGCATTGGCGGGGGGCTTACTGCCGCTCGGACTTTCGGCCGTCGCAGCGGTTAGGATAACACTTGATGTTGTTGGGTCGGGTTTATCAATATCTTTAATCCTACAATAAAATGCATATATAAACAAATCAAAAGTACAAATGCTAAATGAAAATGCATGCCCAAGACGACAAAGCAAACAAATAGAATGGGGGGGACAGATGGGAGGATTGAAAGGGTATATCCTACTTTTAATTAAAACCATTTAATTTTCGAATCATACTCTGGGCTGTATAATACCCTGCACTTCTTCTGATGAGCCTTGGAACTTGTACTCTGCGATTAAAAACGTATATCTTTATGGTAGGAAGTGCTTCCTGCGCGGTGCAGGGCTATTCTCAAAGTGAATTCTAGGGAAAATGCTAACAACGAGCTTCAATAGCCAATTTAGACAATTTACTTGCGACAACTCTTTGCCAACCTACACCAATTTATTAGGAAATTAGTTGCGACTAATTCAGATAAGACTGTTCCATCAGGTGGCTCCACTTGAAGTCTGTACACCTCGCAATCAGCCAAACAATTAATTACTTCTGGCCGATAACCCAAGATTTCTGGAAAAGTGTACAAAACACAAATCCCCATTTCCAACAGCACTCACAACCATAAACGATTAATCAGATTTTCAACTTTGAACCCAAAGCTAGGCTTAGAACTCTATGGTGGGTGGGACGCCTCCGTAGAGAACCATCCACGGCACCTGAGTCACCACTCTTGATAAGGCGGCCCACCAGGTGGCCTATCGACACTGTCGAGGGGCCTATTAACTAGACACGGTTGCCCTAATTGGTGTTTGTTTTTTTTGAGGGAGTTTCGCTGAGAAGTAATTTCCGGCGAGTGTCTTCCCGACGACAGGCACTGTTCGCGACAACCGGATCGGATGGGTTTGGGGAGACTGGGAGTGGGGCATGCTTGCCATACCAGAGCACCCGGTGCTTCCGAGATTTCCGCAACGTTCTTCGCAACATTTGATTCGCGGACTCGGTGTCGCAGTGAATATAATATAATAATGATTTCAATTAGACGTGCTCTTTCCTCGGTGGACTGCGACGGAATGGTGTACCAATTGCCATTAAACGATTGTAATCAATTCTATTGTGCACTACTCTCCGCCACCGAGTGGGCGTGTGTGTGTTGTGACACACAACTGTCGTTCCTCTACTCCAACATACCACACATGTACGAGTTCGCGAGCGGGTTCGTGCTCTGGAGGGGACTCGGTTTAGCGCTGATAACGCCGATAAGATACTCCCGCCTCAGGCTCCGATAAAGCCAGCCGCCCGGTCGAGTTTGCACAAACAGCGGGCCGGCTAAGCCTAATCACCTAACCCACATCCCAGTAGCCAGATGATGCAAGCAAGCTCCGAAATATTTGCAGCGAAACATCTGTTTTCCGGCGCTTTGCCCAAACATGTTTATTAAGGGACGCCTGCACCCACTGCCCGGCGGACCTAAGCAATGCCCATAAAGCCTCAGATGACACATTTAGTTTTAACGATTTTTTAAGCATTTTCAGTGCGCCAGCACCCCGCCCTCGAACTAAGCTGTTTCTAGTTTCCCAATAACTCGGAAACTTTCCACTGTTTACTCGCGCAGAGATCTCGGAGAGGAATGCGATTTCCGCTCATCCCAGGCAGCGATCTATGGGGTATCGACCCCCAGGCGGCCCATCAACAAATTCAAGTTCACGAAAAAGTACACCCTGGGATGGGAGTCCATTGAGCGATGATTCCCTCCCATTAGGTGACATTGCCTTTAATTGCAACTCTGGGCTCGAGTGCGCGGAAGATCGGAGATAACCCGCCGGTGTGGGCTATACTATGTTCGTGGAATTTATGTCATGTGTTAGGGGTTGTGTCAGTGATCCGCGATAAGGCTTTTCCCCCTTTATTGCTTGTTTTCAGCTCTCGGAAGAGATTAAAAAACGCTCATTTGAATGAATAAACTATATACTCTAAAAAAAATACTTGTAGTACATAATCGAGGCGATAAGAGGCAGAAATATTGTTTCAAAACTCGACTCCATGTGTTTGGAAACCCTTCCGGCGATAACAGTGCTCGGATAATACGTGATGCGGCCTTTGTTTGGGAGAACTTTTCCGAGAAAAGTGGGCCAGATACAATCACATTCTATTAATAGGCCTCGAAACCTGTGGGAGAATTTCGATTCAACACTGCATGACTAACCCCGATGATGCAAATTTTGGCATTGTGACAGCAAGGGCTATCTGTGGGCAGTGTTCGAGTTATAGGCCCGCAATTAGTGTCCCGTCCATTACTGTTTCCAGCGAGTGCAAGCTGTCGTTGCACCGACTGGAGGAATAATAGATGGATATGTACGTATTGTTCCCGGGAGGGGCGCAGGCCCCACCGCCCAATTGAACTCTGGCCTTTGAGGTCGTCGGGTTTTCCATTAGTTAGTCATGGAAACCGGATACAGAATGCATTCGCCACCGGGCATATAAAGGCCACTGGCCATTAAAACTAACTACTGCATTAGTGTAGGCACTATGTACATTCGAACTTCTGGCAGGGCTTTGGACCACTCGGCCCGGAGAAAAATCAATAGTGTGGACTGGCAAGGGTGTATTACATTTTTTTGCGTTTGACTTTCTTTGGTTCCACCACGCCTGTTGTTTTCCGCGGCGGCCTTCTCGCCTCCTCCTTCGGCATTGGTAGCTGCTTCTCTTCTGATGGTTATTGTTGGTCCGAAATGTATGTCATCTGGCCACTGGCCACTAGGAGAGCTGGCCAGAACCGAAATTCGCCAGCCAGCAATCGCTCGAATTGATGACGAAACGTAAACACGTATTCTATATTTTTAGCCCGACTCGGCTAAATGTCATTAATTTATGAACTATCCACACACACACACACTGCTCGGCTGTTAATTATTTAATTAATTTTCCCTGTTTTGTGTCGCAGTTATGGCAGCTTATGGCGTTTTGTTCTTTCTGCCGATTGTCATTTGTTGTTTGTTTGTTTATTTGGTTTCTGTTAAAGGCACGCGATGGCGAAGAAAAATGCGAATTTGAGGCGCGGGAGCTCGTGCCGGGCACGTCATCCCAGCTCGACGTTCCGATTTGCACTCAAGAGCAGCCGCCGGCCGAGAGCGTGCCAGTGGCAGTGGCAGCGCCAGTCCCCACGTTCGGGGTTGGGAAATCCGACCAAGAGATAGGGGACCCTCTGGTCGACCTGTGCATACGCTTGATCAATTTTTATTGGGGTATTTGCCAAGAAGCGAGAGGCAAGAGTGTAATTAAGTGGGATTACCCCAGACACCCAAGACTGGATGCCTACTGGTTCAAGGTTGATGCCTGCCAGGTACTTGGCCCACAAACACAGTGCCTGCCTGGGCAGGAATAGCTGCGGAAATCTCTTAATCTTTATTCTCCAAAATAAAGCTAATTATCGCGGGCCAGGCGCATAGATTACCACTAGTGGCTGTTTGTTTATTTTGTCATTTGGGAAGTTCGTTAAACTAGCCAGTGCCCTGCGATGACCCGGGAGTGTGAAACCCATAACAATTAGCCGAGGAATGCCTCACTTTAATGAATATTGTTATCTCCTCCTCCAAGGCAGACAGCACTGCTCCCAGTATAGGTGATAAAATCCCTTTGAATCTCCAAAAAGTGAATTAATTCGCTATCTGGCCATTCGACTTCATTCAATAAGGCGATAGGACTGGGCGCTGATATCACCACCTAGTTGGAGGCCTAGACAAAGTCAAGAACTCTATTGTTTGTTTACCTTCACAGTTCCTTAGGGCCGAGGAAATCGATATTCTAAAGGACACTTGGAAGCCTGTAGCAACTGTTGCGCAATAGACGCCTACCGAGCGGGGCTAGCAGAGTGCAGGAAGCGTGGGAGGTGCTATCACTCCAGTTGGACGGGGAGCGGAGCGGAGGGACTGGGTCGCAAGCAGGTAGATAAGACAAAGCTGAAAGGAACAAAGGGGAGCGTGAACGACATGCAATGGATACAACATGCAAACCAGCGGGCAAACCCATACCACAACTTAACTCGATAAACTATTAGGTTAATAGATTACACGGGGATATATATTTTACATATTCCAAAGAAACTTGATCTTTTTTTAAAGAAACAAAGGCCCTACTATTAAGAAATATCTTATTATTAAACATTCAAGAATAAAATTAGAATTAAACATCAAAACAAACTCTTAATTTTCTCTTTTAAAAATCTTATTGGAAAAAAAATCAAATTATTTTTATCCGTGCACACTTTTACGATTTTGGGTTTTGGATTAAGTTACTAGGTGGGCGAAAAAGGGGCGTGTCAACTCACATGGGCGCCGCATTCAAGCTGGCAGTGCGTTTGTGTTTACTTTGCGCCGAAGGACGAAGGAACAGGCTCTGGGCGGTGGCCAAGGACTTGGGCAGGGCACCCTGGCTGGCGGACTTTCGGAGGGCCACGAACCGCGACGACCCTGCTCCCGAGCCCGATCCAGATCCCGATCCCGATCCCGATCCGGAGCAAGAGGAGATGGAAGAAGAGGAGGCGGAGGCCAGCGAGGAGCTCGACGAGGGGTTGGACTTCTGCGGCTGGTGGTGCTGATTTTGTGCCCGCTGCTGTGTGACAAAATGCATGACAACGGCACACGTTGCCGCCCACAAATATCACTCTACCCGTGCTAATATTTATTCTTTAATTTCATTTTATTTCATCTGAATCTGCCCCGCGTTTATTTATTCTCTTTTCTTATTGGCTCGCTACGTTGCTGACGTCTGCGGAAGTTTTCTTTTTATTTTTTGCGTGCTTTCATCGTCGAAAAATCACTGCCACGTTGCGTTTTATGCTAGCTTCAGGTGCGATCACCTTAAAATGCTATTTTCGGTTAACTTCAAAATGAGATTCATGGATAAATTCAAGGGTTTCCGTCTGCGTTTTCCTCCGATTCTTCACTTTTTGCGCATAAAAGGTATACGTCGTGGCCAGGGTTGTGGAGCGGCCGAAACCCTAGACGCCGACTCTAAATTGCCAATGATTTGAGTCAATGTCTTTCGTCAAATTAAATCAAAAATATTCACTACATTCCCCATTGATTAGTTTCCGTACTAGTGCCGATTTTCAGTGAATAATTTGTGTGTATATTAATTGTCGGCGAGTTGCGGCACCATGGCAACTCCCGTCCCCAGCTGTGCGGAAATGCCAACTCGTTATGCGGAAAAACGAGTGGCAGCTCCACTTTTAGCTGCCTATGGTCACACAAAAATGTTTAAAATTTAAATTTAATTTTTATTTTTATATCACAATAAAATTAGAATACAAAAACTTGTTGTTTGTTTAATTTTACAAAAACGTTTGCTCTTGTTGTTGTTGAGTGTGGGAAGATAGCATCAAGGCTACTGAAGGCGCTAGAAAGAAAAAAAGAAAAAAAATTATTGGAATAAATAATTAGGAGATTGGGAAATTGTTTTGGCTTAAATTAAATTGTATAGAAATACTCAAGCGAGAAAACCGTTTGGTGTCAGTACAATGCTCGAATTGCCGCTTTTTAAAAGTCCCCGAATTAGCGCCAAGTCGTCGGGCGTTAGGGACCATCCAGTTAGTTGTCCCACCGACTGCAACTCCGGGCAACTGTCCATCAGAAGCTAAAAATATGTTCATTTTTATACATATATTCATTTAAAAGCTTAATTACAATAGAGTTAAGTACCTCCACAGCCTGCACTGTGAGCTCCGGTGCCAAAGTAAACCAAATATCCTCCAAAACTTTAAAATCGTGCTGAACAAACATGCTGAAAAAAGAGAAATGCCAATTTTAAGCCCTGACTGGAAAAGGGGAACCTTACCTCATAATATCTTCATCTGTAAACTCCACCGTATCCACTGCCAGACGCTTCAGATCTGTGGAATTGCAAAGGAAGGCCTTCAGGGAACTGGTCATGATGGCGCTGCTGAGGATCTCGAGGCCCTCCAGCTGCTGAAACTTGGCGTGGGCCTGCCCATAAGACAGGCTGTCGATCATATAGCAGTCTAGATCGATCAGCGACGGGCAGAGCCTGGCCAGCTTGCCCAGTTCCAGGTTACCAGTTCCCTTTATCATGGTCAGATGCCTGAGATTTCTGCCGATGGGTCGCTCCAGGAGGGGAAGTAGCTCGGCCACCACAAACTTGTAGATCTTCAGCTTTCGCAGGGTTCTGGTGTGCAGGGCCCTCAAGCAGCCCGTTTTGGGGGTGTCCAGGTAAAGGGTCTCCAGTCGCGGACATGTCTGCATAATCACGTGGAGACCAGTCTCGTCCGTTCCTGTGTCGTGGACATATTTCAGCCGGCACTTGAACCGATCGTCCACGTTATCGTAAATAAACTTCAGGGCGGCGCCCACGAAGGAGTATGTCGAAAGGGTTTCCACTTGGGGACAGTGTTCCAGTATTAGGGCAATGTCGGAATGACAGATATTCTCCTCGCCCGGCATACCCACATCCACCATAGTCAGCGATTGACAGCACACGCCCTTGGCCAAGACATCGATGCCTATCTCGGTGATATCCGTCTCCCCGGAGATGTCAAGTATCTGCAGGCGTGTCGACCACTTGCCAATCTCCTCCAGCAGCTGATCGTTGGCTATGTAGGGCACGTACAGCTTGACCAACTGCTTGCACCGCCGCACGATCTCATACATGTAGTGCATGTGCTCCTCCTTCACCCAGATTCCCTTGATGTTGAGCACCCGCAGTCCTGCTCCTTGGGCAGCTATCACCTGGAATGAAGTACAACTTTTTAGTTTCCTTTCCTGAAAGGATATCAAGCATTTCGATTCACCTGCAAAATCTTCTCGTAGTAGCTGAACGGAAACACCTCGGTGACCAGGAAGGTGACTCCGCAATTGAGCAACATCTGGAGGCAGGTGAACCGCATGTTGGCGTCCAGATAGTCCGAGCTGAGAATGACCCGCAGCAGATCCTGGTAGATGTTCGAAGTGGCGCCAGACTGGGCCAGGTACTCGTTCAGTTCGACCATCACAATGTTGATGTCCAAGTGGACGTCCGGGGCGTACTGCACGTAGCTGATGGTGGACACCAGGAGGTTGGCCAGCTCGGCCAGAGCACTGTCGCTCAGAGATCGCACACTGCACTTCTTCGACATGCCTCTGTTTTGGTTTCCCTCGGAAAGTAAACAAAATGCGACGCAGAATAGGTTTGGCAAAAAGAGAGCAGGTGAGGATAGGATGGGGTTCCTTTTGGTTACATCACTTGTGGGTCACAAAACTTCCTGTTTGGCTCCTTCGGCCTTAGCTACTTAGTCCCAGTGTTAACTACTTTTAAAGCTAGTAATATTTCTGTGGGCCCTCCTATATGTGTGGGCCTTATATTTATAAACAGAAATAGATTCTAATTATATAGGCGATGGAAATTGTTTTTGCACGCTGCCGAAGATCGAACCAAAGCGAAGCAGACGTTCCAACGGCGCGAGTCGAACTGAGGACGCCAAACAATAGTGTGCCATTTATTTCCCTCTCTTGGGGTTTCATCTCTCGAGAATGATCTTTCGAAAACCGAACATCTGACCAGAGAATGCGGATTCTTATGCTCCTTCAGAGAAGTAACTAACAATTACTCATTCTTGATTAAACTTTACTCTAATGATTAAAAAAATATTTACATTCGTGTGCATTTAATTGATTTTAAGATTATTAATTCTTTGACAAATATTTGAAGCTAGGGAATGTTCAAACGACTTTTATTGAAGGCTGTCTGGGCTTATATTTGTCTATAAATAGAAATGGCTGTAATTGGTAGATGGTTGGAGTTACAACTCTCAACTATTCGAAAGGATTATTTGATCGTTTCGGTGTCAAGTTTATGCTTTCTCTGTTTCTAAGGGCGACTCTGAACCTGATTTAGTAGATGTTCTAGGGCTGCAGGTAGCTGGGCAGCTTCATGCGCATAAACAGCCAGGTCGTGAAGAACGAGACCAGGATGAAAATGAATCCCATAGCGGTAAGCAGCAAGCGATTCAGGTTTGTCTTTCCAGGGGCATGGGTCTGGTCCATGATGATGAATCCCAAGCCGCCAATTGTGAAGAGGAAACTACTGGCCAGTCCTTCCATGATGTACTGCCCATTCACCCTGTACGGCATAAAGGCTACAGGCCGTGAGTGCCCGTGCTCGTCCACAGTAGCTCCTACGCTGGGCGGCTCCACAATCACGTCGTAAATAATGCCTATTAGGAGATTATGTCTGTAATACCATTGCTAAAACTCGTTTCTTAACTCACCTCCCGTTACCAAGAAGTAGGAGAGTAAAATCACACTGAAAACGGCCATGGGCGAGGGCATGGGAATGCTGAATTTGCGCACTTTGATGTTTGGCGGCACCAGAATGTGGAAGGGCAAGCTGTATAGAGTCTCAATCATGGTGGTACAGGTTTTTCCTAATTAAAGCAGAATAAATATTTCCAAACTTTTATTTGGAGGAATTTGCCGGCGTAGGCGTCGTTGGCTAGAGATGATTGTTGTTGTTGAGGAGAATCATCGATAAGCTTTCTCCGGGCACTTAGTTTTCTTGCTCTCTGGTCACACTACAAAAGTTTATTCATATTTTTTTAAATTTGTTTTAGAAATTATTTTTGAGTTAGATTTTATTTTTATTTCCTGTAGGTTAATTTTTATTTCAAAAATCTTATTTTTTTTATCGTACAAAATATAAATAGTTGAAATAAGCGAAAAATATGCAATATTTCATATCCAGTCAGAGCGGTCAAATTTAAAATGCCCACTCCGGGTTTCCACATCCTCTTTGGCTTTAATATATTAAAAGTATAATTAAATAATTAAATAATATTTAAATAATTAATAATTAAATTAAACAAGTCTGGTAGCATTGCAAAACAATTCGAATGAAGAATTGGTACGTTGTTTATCACTGCTATCAGATCAGCGTTGCCGGAGTTTTGTACTCCCAAGAGCTGGTAAACGCAGAAAGTGGCGAAATGTTGGAAAACGAGAAATGCGCAGAATGAAGGAGAAGTAGCAAAAACAGAAAACAAATAACACAAATCGCAACTCCAGAGAAAAATAAATTGAGTAACCGGTTGAACTAAATAAAGGAACAGGCATGGCCGCTGCCAATGTTCCGCCAGCAGGTGGGTAGTAGAACGATAAGCTAAAATAAACAAAATTAAACTTTTTTCCCATTTAATTAAACTTTAAAGGTAAACTGCCGGCAACTGCGAAGCGAGTACAAAACATTGGTGACCTGGCTCTGTGGCAAAGATCGCGGGCCTACCATGACCTGATTGGATACATCAATGGAACCAGTTCGGCGATCCAGGGAATCAAAACGACCGACGAAATGTACGAGTCAGAAATGCTCAAGAAGCTCTTGGGTCTCTTCGAATCCTTGGAGTCGTTGGTCGAGCAAAATCCGCCCCTGGAACAGCCGCAACGTTTTGGAAACAAGGCCTATCGGGACTTTGCCCAGGCGATGAGGGAGCAGGTCCCAGCCTGGCTGGACCAGCTACTGACTCCCGGAAAACAGCGGTATCACAGCGAACTGGTGCAGTACCTGCTGGAGTCGTTTGGAAATGCCACCCGCATAGACTATGGCACTGGGCACGAGCTCTCCTTCATGTTTTTCCTCTGCTCCCTCTTCAAGGCGGAGATTCTGCAGGAACAGGACATTGTCAGTGCCGCCCTGAGGCTCTTCAATCGGTACTTGGACTTTGCCAGGCAGCTGCAGCGAACATACAACATGGAACCAGCCGGAAGCCAAGGAGTTTGGTCACTGGACGACTTTCAGTTTGTGCCCTTTATTTGGGGCAGTGCGCAGCTAGCTGGCAAGTTTAGGTCCCAGCTCAAAAAATGTCCTTTTCTATTTTCGATCCTCTGCAGTTAACAGCCCCTTCGATCCTTCCAAATTCGTGGACGAGCAAGTCATCAGCGACTACAAGGATCAATTCATGTTCATTGGCTGCATCGACTACATTTGCAAGGTAAAGACGGGACACTTTGGCGAGCACTCCAACCAGCTGTGGAGCATCACCGACGTGCCGTCCTGGGTGAAGATCAATGCGGGTCTGGTCAAAATGTACCAGAAGGAGGTAAGGTCTTAGGTTGTTTATTAAAAAACATTGACTTAGAGACTTTTCCTTTATAGATCCTGTCCAAGTTTCCAGTCATCCAGCACGTTTACTTCGGTGAGCTAATGTCCTTCGAGACTGTTTCCCCGGGCACAACCATTTCGAATGTCCGGCTGGGGCAATTGGCGCCACCGCCCTCGAAGCGCATCTGTATCGGAGCACCTGGCTTGCTGCCGCCCGTTCCGGCCACCGTTACTGCTCCTCCGCCCGCTGAAGCTCTGATCAGTGACCTCAACGTGGGCGACTCCAGCAGTGAGAGCAGCGACAGCAGCGTTGTCCTGCGGGCCTCAACCTCGTCGGCCTCTCTGGTGGCAGAGGGGTCGGGGGACAAGTCGCACAAGCCAGCGGCTGCAGGAGAAGCCGCAAAGGATCAGGCGGCTGAATAGTTTTGGCGATGGCGTCGATTACCTGTGTTACAAATTTCCTAATAATAGCGTTGACACTCAGTCCAGTAAAAGTGGTTTGCATAAGAATGGATGCGTGTTTCAATTTATTAATTTTAAAGGGGGAATGTTATATATTTAAGTAGGAAAGTAACGTCCCGATAAGTAATCGGAAAATGATGCAAACAAATGTCTATTAGCCACCCCATTTCCCTCCACAAAACCGTCAAAAGTCCGAAATAACAAAACAACTGAAGGGAAAACAAAATCAATAGGCAAATGAGGCATGCGAATAGATGAACTTGTGTTACATCAACTTTGAGGATGTTCTCGAAATAAAAGAAACCCCAAACCATCACAAAAAATTGCAAAGTATCAGAATCTAAAACAAAAACTTTTGCGGGAAGTCCTCTGAAAGCATAATCATTTATTTTCGACACATCATTTATCAAATTGTGCGGCTGGAAACATCTTGCCACGCCCTTCCGCTCCTGCGCTCCACCGCTCCTCAATCCGTACTTTAAAAACTTCCTCCGGTATAGTTTATTTTCCTTTTATTTTTAAAAGCAGCACATGCATTAAAAGTTTGCCGACGCATTTTGATTGAAGACTTTGAAAAACACGAAAATGGAGCTTTTCTTATTCGGCGCTCGTTGTTCGGCCGGGAACAGGCCAACCTCGGTCATGTTCATCCATTTGGCCCCGTCTCACCTTTAAAAAACCCACAATGAGCTGTCCAGGGAAAGGGGCTCCGGGGCTTCGGTCTTGTGTTTTTGCAAATTGAATGAAATTTGTGGGCGGACTGTCGACAGCCGTTCGAACAAGGTCCAAACATGATTGAAAGGTCGATTCGGGGGCGATGGAGGGGGCGGGAGCGGTGGCTGATTGATGGCTGTTTAGGTAGACTATTAACTTGGCCCTCTGCTAAATGTAACTCATCCAGCCTCATTAAAACTGAGATTTTCTTGTTGTTGACCTTTGCCTGTTCGTGTGCAGGTTTTCGAAAATTTTACATTTTCGAAATATTACATAGGTTTTGACGGGCGCCAAAAAAAAAAAATACATTTTCCATACTATTTTTTTAGTTCCGACTTATTACTGTTGTAAGGACATACATTTAAACTTTAAATCTGAACTTTGGCGCGCAGGATAATTGAACATTTTAAGCTAAGAATGCCAAAGTTCTCCTGAACTATTTTGCAAATGGAAAATATTAGGGAAGGTTTGTAAAATTGAATTGTTTAATGGAATATTTTTTTTAATGTGATGTGTCTTTGTTTATACATGCCTGTATGTGCTTTTGTATAATTTTTCATTGTGCATTTTCAGGTTGCATTGTGCAGGATTGTAAAAACTATTATCGAATTTTTGTGTTGTTATTTACAATGTTATTACAATATAATACAATTAATTAATTTTACAAAAAACAAAAAAGGAAAGCCAACTTGCAGCTAAGATCGAATATATGTCTTTTGTTTAGATCTTTATGAGAATTTCATTATAAAACCCATTTGTTAGAATAAAAAATTAGGAAAAAGTCGCAAGCTCTTATATTTAAAAATACATTGGATGGGATATTTCCGATTGTTCAGTTGTAAGGCAGCTATAGAATATTTTCAGTCGATCATTATGAAATTTGATAAGTCGTATTATTTTGTTAATAATAGGATCCGTAAAAAATCCCAACTCTTAAAACACCAAAATTATAGCATTTATGGCATATGGCAGCATAGGATATAGTTGGCCGTTCCGTGTAACCTACTACGTGCAAAGGAATTTTTACCTAATTATTTATAATGTATAATTTAATATTTATAATTTTACGAAATTTTGCGCGTTAGCTAATAAAGTATCTAATAAAATCATTAAAATTAAGAATTAATGTTGAGTTTGGTAAATAAATGATAACATATAGGAGATTAAGATATGTACAACTCGTAATTGGAAGGGGAAAAAATACGAAAACGAGTTTTTTGTTTAGCAGGTGAAAGTTCTTAGTAAAATAAAAACATCCTTCGTTAAGTTACTTGTGAGCTGCATCTGAAAGACTGCGCTGAAATTTCATCAGTATATTACTTCGAGAAAACGTCAGAACCGATTCGCAAAATAATATTTTGAAAAATACACGTTTAAAGTTTTGATAGAATTACACTTCGAAAGAATTACTTGGACCAACGTACAATTTTTGAAAAGTTTTCCTGAGATCCCTTAGAACCTAATAAAAGAAAATAAAGTGAAACTATTTTATTTTTGGAATGGAATCCATGAAACCACTTAAGAAGAGACTAAAGAACCTATATAAAGGTGCATAAAGCTATTAAAATATTATTAAAAAAGTTTGTATTTATTCACTAAAATTCTTGTTAAGGTTGCAACAACAGTTAAGATTATTACATTGTGGTAGTTCTCAGCTTTCTGGGCCCAACCCAAACTAATTACGTATACGCCCCATCCACAGCCTGACTTTGTATAAAGAATGTGCAATTGGCAAAAGTTTAAGATTTGCCAAGGAAGTCAAGAAGTGGCAGTGGCCACCACCACACACGATGGGGGATGGAGGAGGGTCGGAATGAAAATCCAGGAGGCAGGACACGGAAGGAGCCTGCGAAGTGGCTCTCAAACTGGAGTCAATACACATAACTGGCACAAAGTTGACGTAAAAAGTTCGAGGAGCTCGAACGGAACTAAAAGCGGAGTTGCAGCAACTTTTGACGTGTGCCTGGCGAAAATTAGTTATTGTCTATGGAGGAGGGAGCAGCATACACTTGGACAATGTATCAGAGATATTTGGAATCATTTATAAATGTATATAATTTTAATTAAATTTTAATCAAATTTAACAATGAAATATAGTAGCTTTTGTAACAAATTTTAAAAAACTTCATCAAACTATTGTAACAAAAATTTTTTTTTGTGTAATAGACTGGGGCGGGGCGGAAAGAATTCTTTGTTGCACCACCTCGATGAGGTAAAGTTGTGGATCAAGTTTCGTGTTTTCTTGGCCAGAAGTCGGGGGACCGTATCGGGGCGGAGTTCAACTTGGCAACTTTGTGTGCGACACTGACCAGAGTCCTTTGCTCCTGGAAACTTGCCCACTCCCAAATTAACTTGAGCCAAAATATACGTCTGGCTTTTGGGCTTCTCGGCCAGTTGTGCTGGCTGTTCTTGCCGTTCGGGTTGCACAATGTTTTCCTTCTGTTTTGTGACTCCATTCACCATTTCTGTGTGTTTAGCCAGCTGACGCCAAAACCTTTTCCATTACTCCCCGACAAGGACACGCACCAAATGGAACACGAGCCCAAAATAATGAATACCAACCAGTTCGGTTGGGGTTTTAGGTTCCATTCAACGTCCTAATACCTACCATTTTGGAAAGTTTCATATCTTAAGAATTGATTTTTAAGCAAAACCATTAAATTCATTCAATATTACTCATTGATTGTTAGGATATAATACGTTATATTCAAAACAAATTTTATACTGCTTTTCTAAGATGAAAATGTTGGCTATTGTATACATCTTTAGGAAATCTTAACAATTCAAGAACCCAGACACCTTCAAAGAACATGGGTACCCTTTTGTGCTCACACAGCTCACCAAAGAGTTAAGCGTATTGTACTGAGCCGAACGTATTGTTGGTCCAGAAGTGACCAGTTAGGACTCCAAGCTAGGAGCTTGGTCCCATGTGCCTCCCAACAATCGGGCAGGAAAATTCGATGCGGGCCCAGGCATAAGGACAACCCAGTCCTCCATTAAAACCCTACATCGCCACAAGGCGATTGAAAATCTGATCTGTGAATTATGCTCTGGCAATCTTGTTTTTCTGAAAAATGGATAATTTAGAATTTCGGGATTTTATACCAGAAAATTTATGGTTATAAAAAGATTATATATGTATTTCCCAGGTTGGAATTAAATAGTAATAATACAATACCAAAAGTATTCAATCGAACAAAGTGAAATAATCGATAGTCCCATTTAAAAAAAAAAGATTTGAGGACATACATAAACTTAATTATAATTAAGCAGATTGTTTGACTTTTCTGTAATAGATTACAAATCTCAGAACATAAAGGATTTACATCCTTTTTTGCATAAATACTACCAAGTCAGTATCAAGTACTACCAAGTACTACTCCGGTGCAAAGTCTCCAATCAATATCTTTAAAACTGAGAAACAGACAGACATGCTTATGTATATCAACTCAGGAGGTGATCCTGTTCAAGAATAAATATACTTCATAGGGTCGGACATGCCTCCTTCTGCGTTGCACACTTTTGACCAAAATTAGCAAATGGGTTCAATTCTGACTACAATATTTAAATTTAAATAAAATAAGGGTTTACAAATGAGACTTAAGTTAGCTTTCATCTCGAAGCATTATGTAAGTGTTATATATCGTATACACATACATATGTGTATGCTGTTCGTCACCTACGTGAACTGCCGTATTCAGTGATGTAGTCAAATACATTTATTCACTATAATCATTATAATAATTATAGTATAATGAGTTAATAAAAGCAGACTATTCCAAAACGTATAAACTGGCAAACTACACTTTAAACCGTCTCTCATTAGAAAAAAGAAACTGAATAAATCGACTTTCCCAACCTCAACTGTTCTCTATATTTATTTGCCAAATAAAGGCACATGAGATGTAGTATAATTAAAACATTTAAAGACGCCAAGGAAAAAAAAGAGGAGAGTTGAAATGCCGGAAATTGGCTACTCCTCTACTTCAGCTGAGATTTTCCCCTTTTCGTGGCCACTTGGGAGCAGTCCTTAATACTGTTAGAATTACAAAGATTAGCGCTAATTTCCCACTACCCAATGCGGCATCTGAGGCTGCAACTTTTCCCAGCATCCAGCTCCGAGCTCGCTTAACCCGCCAAGTCATCAAAGGCTACAAATCACTGGGAGCTGGAAGCTGGGAGCTTGAACCAACTTAAAATATTAGCCCAAATGGTTTGAGGAAAACTTCGTCATGCAAACATGACTTGGCAGGCTGTGGGCATTCCAGGGGCGGTGGGGAAGGATTTTCGGAGGGAAGGGGGCGACTAGGTGCCGTGGGAGATTCCAGACCAACGGATGCGAGTGCATCTCAAATGCGCGCAGCAATCGCAGCTTCTTCTTCCACCTCGGGGCCTTTTATTTCAAATGCTTTTCCTGTTTGGAACTAGACAGGCAAGCACATGATGCAAGACATGGACGTAGTCAGGTGGTTATAAGAATTAAGAGGATTTTATGTAAATCATTTTCAAAATAATAGATAATAAAAGTTTTCAAAACTGAAATGGTTTTTTGAGAGAAGAAAAAGGATTATAAAATATATAGAAAATATTAATATTCTTTTTTTATTTTATTGTAAGATAAATATGAAAAGAGTTTAAAATGTTGAAATAATAAATATAGCAATATAACAAAAGATTAATAGATGTATAGGAATAAAAAACGGAAAGATCCTTTAAATTATATTAAGGCTACGCCCATGGGCCTGCCACATTCCCATTCCTAAACAGAGCTCTTAACCCTTGTCAATCTGCAAACTCCTCCAACGGCTTTCAGAGATTACATCCCATCGATGTGTACTCTGGCCGCTGGCCAAAAAGTGTGCAAGCCTTGCGAGTCCTGCGTCCTGCATCCTGCGTCCTTCGTTTTATTCTCCTCTAAATGGCCAGCCATAAAAAGGGCGCGTGTGCGTAGTTTTTTCTCGTCGAGCTTTCTCCTTGCCAGTGTTTGTTTTTAATAACTTTCGCATTTTCTTTATGTGCCTTACGTGCATGTCCCCGGGGCCTCGTCCTTTGACCTGGTCAGGTGCCTGGATTATTAATTAGGCAACACAAAAACTCTTAAAATTAGCCCAACCACGAATTGAAACAACGGGTGGCTATGTCGCTGGATAAGATCTAAAAACGATTATAGATTACTCGGGCTGGCTTTCTGAAGAGTTAATAGACCCTATAAAGATCCTTAATTTCATAACCCAGTTATCCCTGGAAGTTTCGGTTTCACGAAACAAGGCCAGCCATTTTGAGCTCACGAACTCATGGAATTCCGAAATGTCGGAGGTCTCCTTAGTGGATCTGGATGTGTTGACATTTTTATGTGTTTCGGGTTTCTTGTGTGTCTTTTGTTTGCTGTAGTTTTGCTTTCGAACTTTCCTTTTCTCTTTTTTTTTTTGGTGGAATGCCAAACAGCATCCCACGGCGAAATATGCTGTCTTGCACGAGCCCCGAACGGCATTCAAAAGCACAATTGTTGTCGCCTCAACGACGGTCGGATTCCCTTCTGCCCTTCCGCCCTTCTGCACTTTTTCACCCCCATTTCCGCCTCCCCTCTGTGCCACCACGTTGGGTGTGCACTTGTTGTCGTCGCTTTTTGGTGATTGCGGGAAACACCAACGTGCTGCACCAGGAGAAACCCGACGCCCTTATACCAGAAAAGAAAAATGCATTTATATTGATACCCTCTATTAAAAAACAGCAAATCTAATTTTGTATTTAATCAATTGAATTTTCTGCAAATGCGGTCTAAAAGTTTTATATTTTAGAATAATATTTTAAAGCGCTGTGTGTGGGGGAAAATATAAGTAACTTAATATGTATGTATAATACCTTACCATTAAAATTTGTTTATATTTTAGATATCTGGCTCATTGGAAGGAGGTCCAGACTGAAGCAAAGAGTCAAGCTCCTTATATATAAGGCCATTGTAAAGCCAGTCTGGACCTATGGTATCCAGCTATGGGGGACGGCGTGTCTAAGCAACCGAAGGATCATCCAGATCGCCCAAAACAAGGCCCTAAGAACTTTAACTGGAGCTCATCCGTTCCACGACAATGCGATAATCCACGCCCAACTGAGAGTCCCATATGTGAGCGAAGAAGTTCAGCGATTCGCCAATAGGTACGTGGAAAGGCTGGACCGACATCCTAACCCTGAGGCCATCAATCTTTTGGACAACAGCTACACCACAAGGAGGCTGAAACGGACCCACCCATTGGACCTCTGCCACTCGGGCGAAATAACTTAAATTCTATCGCTAAGGTTTACTGTTAAAATTAGTTTCCTAGGATAAGCAAACATTGTACTACTCAATATTTCATTAAGTTAAGGTCCCATTATAAAATTTAATTATTGTCCATATCTCCGGACAGATTTTAAATATAACTATTGATTGATTGATAATAAAAAAAAAAAAAAAATATTTTAGATATCTATTTATATAAATACCTTCCCGTCAGGTAACTTTCAATAATTTGATTAAACATTAGTGCAAGATTTCATAGAACGATTTCAAAAGAAAGATTTTATAGAAAAGGTACATAAAAGATCTGTGTTTGTAAATGTTTCTTCAATAGTGGAATAAAATCTTTCTTTAATCTCTTAAATGAAATCTTTTAGAAATGTTTTCAAAGCAATCTATCTTTATTCATGTATATGAACTCTTCCACAAATGGTACCAATGAAATCTTTTTGTTCATTTACAGAAATATCTAAAAAATGTTACCCTTGCACCTGTTACCTTCTTTCTGTAATAATTCAGCAGAGTAAAGATTTTATTAAAATAATGTTTCTTTATTATTTCTGATATTATGAATGATTTTAGTTGAAAGATGTCGGGAAAGGTTTTGCAAGAATATTTGCTGTGTGAGAGGATATAAATATATATACACCCAAATAACACAAATAATAAGATTGAAAAATAAACGGGTGCATTTTCGTTTTTTTATGTTTGTTTATTGAAATGTAAAAATATTACGCATACGTACCGTTGACTTTTGAAAATGAGTTTGATAAACTCTAATGCGTACTTTTTGCTGATTATCATATTATTATCTCAAATTGTTTTTTCTGTTCTAATAATATTTAAATAACAAGAACTAAAAGTAATAGTTAAGTTGTAAGTCAAATAGATCAACTTTAGTTAAGCAATAATGCTTAGTTTTCCCCAAGTGTATGCTAAACATCCGGTGGATGCTTTTGATTCCGTAGTGGCGGCTCTCTCCTTCTGCTGAGCTGCTGTCGCTGCTTTTTTGGGCTTGCTGCTGTCGCTCAACTTCCGCTCGAATAGAGTGAAAAATAGCATTTTAGTGGGCACAATACGCCCGGGGCCAACCTGCTCCTATATCCTTCCGCATGCCTTTCCCTTCCCCCGAGTCCCTGTCCCTCGGCGCTCTTCCAGCTTGACAATGCAAAACAAGAAATGACGGTCATAGTCGAGTTGTCCGACTATATAATACCCGGTACTCATCTGTTCCAACTACACTTTACCTAATATTTAAACTTTTGCGCGTGGTAAAACATTCAGTAGGAAAGCAAAAAAAAAGTCGAATTTTTATTTTTCATTGGAATAACTCTAGGTGTAGATTAGCCATTGGTATTAAAACATTTCCCTTAAACATTAATGTACTAGCGCTACAACGAGATTTCCGTTTTGGGGAGGGAGTGGATAAATTGGGAGTTTTGACACAAACTTGATCAGCGAGGATAACATACAAGTAAATTCATTCACACAACTACCATACAATATACCCTTGTACTTTACGAGTACCGGGTATAAAAAGACAGTGAAGAGCAGAGCTCTCCGAGAGGCCATCTTGATCTGGGCTGTCAGCTGTTTAAGGCTAGCATTATGCCGTCCCGTTCTAACCAAATTAAACAGTACAATTTACGTGTGTTTGTGTCTTCCTGAGTGAGTGAGTGTGTGTGAGTTTAGTAATTGCGAAAGTTTCCGGCGAAGTTAGTTCAGTTATAAAGGGAATTCGCACATACACACGCCAATGCATTACACTGAAGAAAGTAATTTTAAAAACAAAATATAAAATATAATCAAAAGAAGGCATAAAATGAAATTTCACTTTGAATTTATATTATTCTTATTATTTTATTAAGTGTTTTCCTATCATACCATTTTTATGAATTTGCATAGTACATTATTACTGTGCATGGAAACTGCATTTCTGTGTTATTTTTTATGCGTTGACTGTGCAAAGAAAAGTAAAGCAGAAATTGCAAACGACTTAAATAAGCAAACAGAACCCAAAAGCACACACCCCCGCACACTATCTGGAAACACACACATATGCAAATACCCACATAAAATGCGAGTGCAGATGGGCGGGAGAGGCGGCAGCACATCGCGATGCTTTACGACCTATCCTCTTAAAAAAACACATTTTTCGCGCTGTGCTACTTAAATAAACTACTTTTTACTACTGACTGGCTTTTACAGCCATTGTTGTTGTTTCGTTCTTAAGTTTTACTGTTACTTTTATGTGTCGGCATAAATTGGTAGAAATGTTTTCTATTTTTTTCACACTTTTGCCATCAGGTTGTATATCTCTTAGCCACAAACATTGTTGTTTAAGCCTAAGAGACCAATACCAATTTCAAAATTAGACTTTAGCTCAAGCAATCAATTACTTATTGTTCAAAGCTTATGATAAATTAAAAATTTTATTAAATATTTTATATTATTATTTTTGTCTAATTGGTTTTTATTTTAGGCTTTTTTGATTTCATCGGTTTCATTGACTTGCTTCTGAGTTTACGGATTATACCACTGACCACAATTTTGAATATAATCCAGATCACAAAATTAATCCCTAAAATTATGGCATACACATCCAAATTGTGGACAGCTATAAGGCTCATATGGACCACCGGAGACTGCAAGTGCTTAGCTCCACGGTGTCGTATCACGTAGTCCACCCAGTATATCAGAGTGTCCGGTGCGCTCAGTGGTCGATCGCGGTAGATACTGGAAAATGACTTTACGGCCTGGGCATACTTCGGATTGTCCAAGACTTCACGAATGCCCTCGGCGAAGGAGTGCTCGTCTAGGGTGAGTAGGCTCTGAGTTATCCCGAAGCCCTTCTGCTCCATGGCTTTTGCATTCTGAGGCTGGTCAAAAAACACTGGAAGTGCCAGCATGGGTTTTCCGTGATACTGAGCCTCCGTAATTCCTCCTTTCCCCGCGTGGGTGATGAACAACTTGATTTTAGGCTGAGCCAGGATGTCGCCTTGGGGGAGCCAGTGGGCGTAGAGAATGTTTTCCGACTCGCCCGGCAAGTTGTCGAGGTCATCCCACTTCCAAATCACCTTTTGCTTCAGTTGAGAGAGGACATTGAACATGGCCTGCACTGTTTCTTGGTTCAAATGTGAGCGCTTAATGTTGGTGCCCAGGCTGAGCAGAATGGCTCCATCCGTGGCGTTCTTGAGAAAGTGTTCCAAGTTCTGAGGCAGTGGATCAGGGGTCTCCTTAATCTGGATCCCACCGATTTCAATGACAGTGGGGAGGTTGGGGCGGATAGGTCGCTCACTTACTCCATGGGATGCAAAGAAGATAAGGGAAATGTTTTTATCCAAGTCGCCGTATCTCGGAAGATCAGGGTCATCACCGTATGTCTGCCTAAAGAACACACGCTTTTGTTAAAGAAATGTAAACTTATCACTCACCTGTAGATTATTTCGTTCCAATATTCCAATGAATACCAAAATATCTTCTCTGCCAAGAAATAAAATAGGTTTAGAAAACGGCTTCTAATCCCATCCACATCAACCATGTAGGTGCATGGCACATAGGATACCTCCGCGGGGTTTCCGAGCTTGTGACTAATATAGCTGGGTGGGTTGGATATGGCCAATACTTGGGGCACCTTCAGCTTATGGGCCAATGCCATTTGAAAGCTGTTTATAAAGTATCCTAAAATAACCAGATCGAATTTGTTACTCTGGTTCTCATACAAGTCCTTATACAGAGGATGCTTGACGACGCTACTCAGCTTAGAGGAAAGTTGGGTGGATGCACTGAAAATTCCACTTAAAAATCCAACGACGTTGCTGTTGTCCTTCTTGGCAATCTCTCCAATAAGTGCGCTGAACCCCTGAAGTTCTTCCTTTCCGAGTGGAACCAGGACGTAGTTGATTTCCTTGTGTCTGAAAGGCGGCTCCAGAACGGTCACTACTGTCATATTATGTCCTCGCTCTGCTAAGATCCGAGCCATCGACAGTTGGATTATTAAATGGGATGGACTCAGACCAGTGAACAATCCGAGAATATTAGCTCCATTGACGGTGGCGATTAGAGCCAAAAACCAGGCCGAGAAACGAAACACAGCCATCTGATCGCGACGGTTGCCCATCTAAAATAAGCCAGTTCATTGTCGTCTGGGGTACTCCAACATTATTTCATATCATGCTGATAAAAATTGTCACTGATAAGAACCCTTTAGCTTTATAGCCTTAATCAAGTTTATTTTTGGTTCTTTATGTTGAAGGTGGTGGCATTAAACTATGTATATCAGTTATGATGTGTATTTTTTTTATAGCTTTCTCATATTATTTAAATATAAAAGCTAACTTATTGGCCCGAACTTAATTATTTTATTCGTTCTTTTCAGCAAAGATTTGAACAGATTTTTTTATTGGTTTTTTTTTAGTTTTATCGATTATTGTTTCTTTAATTAAATAACCTCTTAAGGTATAATTCTTCCTAAACGTTGTAACACTAATCAACCAATGCAAGTAGCCCCGGCAAATAGGAATATTCATATTGTAGACAAACATAAAGCTCATTGGACCGCAGGAGACTGCAAGTTCTTAGCTCCACGGTGTCGTATAACCAAGATCGCAGAAAGCGATCCAAAATTCTGAGGCAGATCAGAGTTCTCTTGATCTGGATTCCCCCGACTTTAATCAATGTGGGAAGGTTAGGTTGTTCACTAATTCCATGGGATGCGAAAAAGGTAAGGGACATGTTTTTATCCAAGTCACTACCTCGAATAGTCGGGGTCACCTCCGAATATCTGCCTAAGAGTTTAGATTAATTTTCGTGTAAAGTACAATACTTAATATATGTATATGTTGTAAATATTTTGTAAATTCACTCGAAGGCAGCATTATTCCAGTACTCCCAATACTAGAAGAGTTTTCCAACCAAAAAAAAAAATTATATTGTAGGAGCGCTTTCCATATTTTGATCAATAGTGATGTGCAGCTGTTAAAAAACAATCCCACTATGAACAAGTCGAATTGATTGCGCTTGTTCTTATATACTTAAATCTCTCTAGAGTGCCGGGTTCTCGTGCCGGGTCTGATGCGGATGAACCATTGGCAGTTGGGTAATAAAATGCGACGGGCTTATCCTCAGAAAAGCCCCGAGATATCAGCCCCACTGGCTGAGGCGACCATTGACAAAGAAGTCCCGTAAAATAACACGCTGCCATCTGATCACGTCGGGTTCTCAATTAAAATACACAAAATTCTGGCAATCAAGATGTTGGAAGCATGGGATAATGTTGATAAGAGGGCACTGTTTGAGAAGCTCAATAAAAAATTTATTTGAGGCACATTCATAAGCTGAATGTATGTAGACTTGGCAGATAAAAAATAAGACAACATTGGCGACCTTAAACTGCACTGCCGAACTCATTAAAGAGGTTATACGCAGTTGCCACCCAAAAAAGCATCAGTTTTAAAGTTTTTTTTACAAAGAGAACTTAAACAGTTTCAAGATAATAATTATTCACATAAGAAGTTATAACGAATTGTAAATTGTAAACAATTTTTGAAAATGAATTCCTTTTTTCATAATCTGAAAAAAGATATAAGATATATTCAAGAAAGATTGTGAAAATATTTCCCACCGATCACCTTTAGACTTTAGAAACGATGTTTTGGGAAAAACGCGTTCAAAGTTGTTGTGGCACTCCAAAAATATTTTACGGATTGAGTTCAAATTTTAAAAGAACATGTATGTACATTTTATATACCAATTAGAAACAAAATACAAATTGTAAGTGGTTGATAATGAAAAACTTTAAACAAGAAAACTACAATTCATTCATTTATTTATTTAACATTGTACCCCAAAGATTATAAAAACATAACCAGAAAAAAAAATTTAATTTTTAAGATTCTAAAATTTTTTATTAATCTTAATTTTTTATTTTTTCACTAGTTTACTTGTTTCTACTATCGTACATACCATATAATCTATTGATTGGAATTAAAACAAGTGCCACAAAAACTAGCTGGTTACAATAACATTCGGCTCTGATTCCTAGAACAGTATAAAGTGCACTTGAATAGATTTTTCTTTCTGGTTTTTTTTGTGATTTAAAACGGTCGATTGGTATCGGGGAAAGTTTAAAGCTGAAACTGTCCCCCTTGGCGGACGTCTAATCAGTCAAATAGTTGGACCAACTTTGCTCCGGCTTGCATTTGTAACTTTTGTGCCCGGAGTTGTAGCCGATTGCGTAACTTTACAACTCTGGTTGAAGGATAAAAAAATTGGAACCAAAAAAAAACTTCTGGCGGCCTTCCAGCTCAGCAACCGTCCAGCAAGTGCGTTTGACAGCCGTTCGAGAAGGCTGAAAGCCAAAAGCCGGCAAAACAATTTTCACATTTGTCTCGGACAAAGGGCCGAATGGCGGTTTCAACTCTGAGGTCAACGTAAATGGCGTTTCTGCCAAAGGATATGTATGTGAAGTTGTAAAATAGCGAGTAATGTATTTATATTCGTTGTATCCAAAAATTTATAAAATAGTCGCGTTTCTTATGGGTTTGTTTTAGGGTTTTTTTATTACATCTAGAGACTTCCAAACTTATCTTAGCTCTTAAATACCTGACTTTATTAACCCAAAACTTAAGTTTAACATTTTCCGTGTTATTTTAACAAAAATAAATAAATAAAACAGTATTATAACAGGGTATTTGAAAGTGTTGTATCCTTAGAGCTCGAAGGACGAAAGCGATTAAAGTACTTGCGATGGAACTGGCCGCACTTTCATTGCTGCGGAAATCGGAAACCTCAAAAGCGTAAGCGACACTTGCGGGCGGCCCATTAAGCGCAGACACCGGGAGGGGGTGGCCCAAAGTGAAAATTAGTGGGGGAGAAAGCTTTTACTGTTGCCGGAATGCAGTTAATTGGAATGCACTTGAAGAGCCCTCTGCTCCCCAGCGGAGAGCCTGAAACAGAGTCGTGCAGAAGCTTCTGCCCTGATTTTATTTCGAACTCCCCGAGAGCCAATTACCAAGGATCAGAATTACCATAATTCCACTTTTCGGTCAGTGGGCGGAAGACAGGACAAAGTCAAACCAAACTACTCGCCGTAATCCTTTTCAATCAACTATTGCAAATCAGAGAGTCTCGAGTGGAGCATCGAATTCGATTTGATTTCGTATTTATATTCAATTTATTCTAGATACTTGCAGCTCCACGCAGCGTTTTCCATTCCGTGTTTCTCCGCTCCAGCTCTGAGCTGCTCTTTTTTATTTTTTTGCCGAGGGAGGAGGAAATCAGGGAAAACTTGTCTATTTTTTGTTTGTAAAAAATTGAATTTGGACTCGACTTGGTAAACTGCAAAAGAAAATGCTGAATTTCACCGAGAAGATATGTATGTCTTCTATTGGATTTTTTTTTCTCAATTTCCAGTTTCGTTTGGAGGCCGCTCTAATGTAATGTAACACAAGAAATTGCCGCAGCCTGATCCCATAATTTATGGTGCGGCTCGAAGTGCTGTGGCTTAACCAGGCCGTGGCCGTTTTAAAAATCGCTTAACGTTTTTGGCACAAATGAAACATCAAAGATTTACGAGCCATGATTAAAGCATTCTGCGGCGTCCTTACAACAAAGGCGGCCAAAAACAAAGGGGCCGGAAAATTCGCCCTTCCCGAGCAGGCTTCAGTATCGCTTTAGCAACTGAAAGGAGTGTAAGTGTTTCTGGAACAAGTGTTGAGCTGAAAGTGAAATTGCCCTTTTTATTTATTGAATGCGCTAAACAGGGGTGCGAGGACTTGGGCTTTGTTGTTTTTTGGAGGAAGATGAATCCTTTGCGCTGTCAGTTAAGGAAAGTACACCACAATGCAAACGTTGGTTGGAATTTGTGGTTCCTAGTTGGGTACTTAGACAGTTTGGACAGTTTCATCAAATATTTGGACGTCGGTATGGATAGAAACGGTCGGAATAGCACAACTCTGCTAGGAGTATAGTCGAAATGGGTCATTTTATATCGTATGGCAGATCGATAATTTAAGGGTGAATAATATTAAAAAAAATCTCCTTTTTTAGGCAATATGGTTAAATAAACTTATTTATGAATTCACCCTGTTTTAAGCATGTCGTACCCAAAAAGTGGCATGCAAAAACAATCTTTCTTGGTATTGAACTTTATTCGCAAATAAAAAGTAAAATTTCTCATAAAAAAAAATTCGTTTATTAAATCCAACTCATTTGAGAGAGGTTTGACGGAGGTTTGCATGATTTTAATATAATTCAATCCGAATGCATACAAATGCGTCTTATTGTGAGCTTGGAACTCACTCAATTAAATTCAAATCCATTCATTCCTGCACATGTTTTGACTAGAGTCCTGTTGTGTCCTTATACATACAGTGTACCACTTGTATTATACCATGTACATATGTTCAATTACATTATCCATTTATCCTTATAACATCCCCCCATTGATTAAGTCACTCTGATGATTAAAAAATCGGTGCTACCTTAATTACTGGAAAGAAGTCAAAGTCATTTGCGATTTGGCGACGTCTCGTCTTGCTTCGGGTGAATATGAGGTCCCCATTGTTCCCATACGAAAGAGGGAATTATGTTTTAATTATCATGAGCTTTGTGTTTTCGATTCCTCGCCCCGAGCCCTACTCAAGCCCAGCACCGTTTTTCTCGGTTTTTCCTAAATTAATTCGGGACACAGACTTTTTCGTGTTGGAATGGCTTTGCCACCCACGATCCACCACAGCCTTTGCACATCCTGAGTCCGACTAAGCTTCAGTTATTTCGAGGAACACCAAATCCGATCCCTGAGCTGATAACGGAAAATTTGTGTGGCCATCTCCGGGGAAGGAGTGGCGGCGTCCCTGTTAACTTCTGCCAGATTTCCATTTTTGGTTTATTTGCGGCGCAAGTCCCTTCAAGGCTTATAGTTTTGTAATTGTTTCGGGCGAAATCTCGGTGGCGACCGTTGTTTTTTGTTATTGTTTGCTATTTCAGAACGGATTCTTTTGCGTTTTCCCAGCGCGCAGCTTTTAAAATTACCTCGGTCCCGATTTTTTGCACTCCGTTGTTTATTCGGTGTTGTTCTTGGCTGGCGCGATTTGCATTTTGGGA